AATGAGCTGAGAGCAGGCGAAACAAGTATAAAATATATATATATATACTATATTAAGTAAACATCAGATAAATACCCCACATATACACACACACTGCGACTGATTATTGTTGCTATGCTTTGTGTTGTCGTCGTTGTCGCTACTAAATAATTATTATTCACATAATTTGGGTCTATTTTCGGCTCTCGATAGCGGCAACGGTCTCCCCAATTAACATAACACTAATCTCTGCGCACGAGACGGATTTGGAATAGGAATAGGAATAGACCTTATCAGCAGAGGGCCGCCTTTTTCCTGCTTATCTGAAAATGTTTCGGTTTTGTTTTCTTATGTTTTCAATTTTATTTTCCTTTGTCTTGAAGTCAGAATTCGTATGGAAACCAAAAATAAACGAATTTGATTGTTAGATGTTTTCGGATTAAAAAAAACCCAATTTTCTGAAAAATAATACAAATAAAAAAATTAAAAATAAGCTTCATATAATATCAATAAAAAGAAAATCTTTGATTTGTTTTTAAAAAGAAAAAGGTTGAACATTCTAGATTTCGGTAATTTAAAAAACTAGGATAGTAAAATAATAAACTTTGAATTTTTTAAAACCAACTTCCCACTCTTTTTTCTCTCAGTGCATACTTAAAAAGCAACAGCAACAAGTGAAGTGCTGCTTGCTGCATACAAAATAATGAAATCGAAAACTGACGGCCTGCAAAAATGCATTACAAAAATGGCATAAAAGCGGCTCACACGCAAACACATCACACATACACACACACACACACCTGCCAATAGACAAACTTGCGCACCTAGTGCTGCTGCTTCTTCTTGATCGCTTTATCAGCTGAGCGAGCAGCACCCGCATATTGCAGAGACAGATATAGAGAGGGAGAGACACTGCGAGAGAGATCGACCGACTAACCCACAGTGGTGTGTGCGTATGTGTGTGTGCCCTTCTAAAAAAGCCCAAGCAGCTACAAACTCACTCAAACAGCATTCCAATTCCACTCAAGCCTTGTGACGTCAGCGGCGAGCTTTTATTATGGCGCTCTCTCCCGCTTGGTCGCCAATATTCTAAGCGCGACAGCGACGCCGACAGAGGTAGCTCCGCAATGGGGAGCAAGCACAGCCAGTCGGCGACGTCAACGTCAAATGGTTTTCGAACGCGCAACTTAACGGTCGTCGGCGGCCTAAGAAATAAAGAAATATAAATAAATTGTCGAAAAATAAAATACAATATTGCCTAAAATACATCAAGTTGTGTAATTAAAGGTTCAAAAGTGCTATAATCAGAAGAAGAAGTGAATGTGCTTGTGATTTTCAAAAGAAATTAACAACCAGACGCGCGAATTAATTTAAAATCGGAACGGGGGAAAAATCGGAGTCGCTTAGTCGCGTTTAGTAGGCGCCAATTGGGCACCCGCAGTCGTCGTCGCCGCCGCCCATTGCCTCCTTTTCCTAGTCCTCCTGCTGCTTCTCGTTCGATGGTGATGCGGTGCTAAAACAAAATCCACACGGAATCCATATTTGTTTTTTGCCTCACTTACTGTACACTCGGTACGTTAAAAAAAAAAAAAAATAACTAAGCCTTTACACTTGTTTCTCCCGTGTATATAATATACAGTATCTGCTTGTGTGTGTGTCTGTGGGCTTTGAATTTTCGTGTAAGAGACTTTCTGCCATTGTTGGACTTTTGTTTGCTGCTTTCCTCAGCGGCGAAAGAGTGTAGTGAGAGAGAAAGACAACAACAACGATTTTCACTTTTATTTGAGACCAGTCTAGGCCAACACTAAAACATACACACAGAGCACGCACAGCACTCACGTACAAGAGCGCTTGCACCTGTTTGCATGTTGGCGTGAGGCAGCTGCAGCACACTGCCACTGAATCACCGTTATGATAATGTTAAAGCTAATGATAATGATGATAGTGCATTTACAAACTACATACAACTACAAAGTTTGAAGTTTACGAATTTAGCCACAGAAGTTGGTGAAAATTACACCGCTAATTTGCTGGTGTATTTACCTAAGAGAGTGTGTGTGTGTGTGCGTGTTAACTTAATTGTGAAATTAAATTCTACGGTTTGGGGAAAAGGATAATATTTGATGAAATAGAGTTGTAGAATTAAATTTTCATTTTGAAATCGTTGAAACCAAACTAGCAAGCAAAAGTCTTTCGAAACTATAAACTATAGAAAGTAATTAACAGAAAAATTATCAAATTTTAATTTGATTTTCACAGTTTGTCTAAGCCATTAACTAGCGCAGCAGTGTTAATTTAATTTTGAAAGGGAGAAAACTAATGGTTACCTGGGGAGTTCCCGGCTGCAGATCTTCAAGGGCGAATTCTTCACAATTTCGATTGTCGATTGCCTCATGAAAATGCAGTTTAAACAATTACAATAAATACATGACAGCAGAGTGCGACGGCAGCGGCAGCAATTTGTGTTGTGCGCGGCGGAGACGTCAATAGCAATTAATAAATAACTAATTGTCCGGCAGAAAAAAAAAAACAAAGAAGCCAGACTTTTAACTGGAACTGAGTGAATAAGAATATGCTCGTGTATATACCCAATACCCCCATTCAGAAGTGTGAACCCAGCCACGCGGCAGTTCTCTCGACGCGGCTCTCGGTTCCCAAGATGCAAAGATCAGCGGCACCAGGGGGGACCAAAACAAATTTAAGTTATATTACCCAATTCACACGAGAAGCGACCACAAATTAATGCACTCGCCCTCGTGGGTTTAAAGCGCAGACAGTGTTGTCGGAATTTTTGGTGGCTATATTAGCAGGGGAAAATAGATTATTATAGATAGTAGAAAATGCTATAACACCAAGTCTTGAAATAGCTTTAAATTAAATTTGATTAAATTTATTTCCGGTAGTATAATACGAAACCTGTCTAAAAAAATGAAAGCCAGACTAATTGAGCGAAATTATTAAGTTTAAATAAATAGTTTTCAGATACTTTGATCCCAAAATAATCTAATAATGTATATTTCTAATGGGTTTATCAACTAAATTTGACCTTATAAACTAAACAAAAATAATTGGAACTTTCCAAATATAGTCACACATATAATCATTATCATAAGGCAATAAAAAAGGCGATAAGCAATTATTGCATCAGCTTTAAGCGCAATATTGTTAAATAATAGAAAGTAGATAACCTAAAGTTGAAAGTTTGCAAATAACCGGATACAGTCTTGTACTTTGTACAAAATTTCCTAAAATAATCCAATAATTTTTAGCTAAAGAGTCAGCACTGCTCTGATCTTAGTTTATATTTTTCTTTACTTTTTACGTGTGAATGTATTTTTTTTTTTTATATATATTTTGTTTCTACAGAGAAGCCTTCAGTTGGATTTGCATGCGACTGGGTGACAGACTATATATTGTGCAAATCGGCAGGTCGTCCGAAATCGGTACGCGCGGCATATTCTCGGGGTTAACTAAGTTGTTTTGAACTGTGTGTACTGTGTGTGAATCATGCGATCCGAAGAGTCTATTTGAATTTGAATTTGAATTGTATTATGGCAATCGGGCAAAGTGGCTTCCTTAACTCGTTCATCCATCTATCGCCCGTATATACACACATACTATAACTATATTATGTATATATATTTTGTGGTCGGCGGCCAGTTATGCCAGAAAATTTAATTCTTTCTCTTTTTTTTTTTTTTTTTTTGTGAGTGAACGCACAAACAAAATGATAAAAAAAAGAAAGAAAAAACGAAAAAACGAGAACCCAAAACTCACACATATGCACACATTAGCTAGCGCACAGATAAAACTTATACAAGAGATAGAGCTAAACGATATAATAGCCCATGTATAACAGTAGCGCAAAACGGAAGGCAAAAAATCGGGGGATGGGTATAGGGAACGAGTCTATGAAGGAGAATAGGAATGGTAGGGAATTTTTGGGGGGGAACCAAAATCGAAATAGAAAAATAAAAACCGAAAATAAGAGACTGAACACAGAAACAGAAACAGCATTCAGTATCAGAGAAACGTCGCCTGCTCGATAACAACGCGGAACTTTCGTCTCGGAACATTTTTCGATCCGATACGATACGATCCAATTCGGTGCGATGCCAAAAAACGATGTCGATGTTGTTATTGGGAGAACAACAGGCAGAAACAATCAAATAAAACTGTGAGCAGGCACACACTACGAAATAAAAATAACAAAAAAAAAAACGTGAAATAAAATAAGCAATAAATAGCACAGAATTTAATGTTTAGCGCGTAGGCCGCACTCACACACAGAGGAATAAATTTAGCGAATTTAAAGCAAATTAATTAATTAAAAGAAGCCCCCGGGCGGCATTTGGCATTGGCTAGATAAAATGGCAAAAATAAATAAATAACAGTGACAATATCATGATGATGAAACGACAAAAAGACAACAAAGAGCAAAACATAGAAAAAAAAATATAAAAAAAACAGAGTGCGCAGGTTGATAAATTTGGAAACAGAAGGGAATACACTACACGCTCTGAAAAGCAAAATAATAAACAAATTGGCCTTATAGTTTACAGGAAATTAAAAGAAAAGACTAGAAAAGTACTGTTTGGGACTTGAAGTATATTGAGATACTAAAAAATAGATATTTTATTATATTTTTAAAGTATTATTTTATTAGTATTTGAGCATTTTTCCCCCTGACGATTTTTCAAAACCATCAACCGAGGCTTTTGAATAATTATCACTTGCTTTTTAACCAGACTTCATTCGTTTGACCTCGACATTTCCACTTCCATCCAAAATTCCTAATACAAAATTCGGTTTTTTCCAACAAAACCGTAGAAAACGAGCCAACCGCATTAGTTACAATAACAAGAACGATGGTATTCTAACCAGCCAGCATCATCATAAGATATAATAGTTACAATTTTATCTACAGATCAATAATTGGTACGCGAATCAGCATACAAAGTTAACTCCTTTTCAGAAATCAACTAACAATCTTTTTTTTTTTCTTTTTCTTGTAATTACAGTGCGGGACACTAGACGGAGCCGAACCGTTATATCATCAGCAGCGAAGCAACAGAATGGACGTCTACCAGATCGACGATGGTTTCCACTCGGATGGCGGCACTGAGACACCGCCACCGTCGCCAAGCTCGGGATCTTCGATTGCCTCGACATCGGACCATGGATCCCTGGAGAGCGTCGACACCGGTGGGACGCAGCGGCTGGCCGTGCTCTCGTTTGAGCAGGTGAGCAAGCTGCACAATGTGATGGATGAAAAGGTGGCCATACACGGGCGCGGTAACTTTCCCACACTGGAGGTGACGCTCAAGGACCTGGTCAATCTGGTGCGCCGCAAGCTGGAGGCAGAGGTGAACGCCGGCGGCGCCGGGGTGTTAGTTAAGGACATCCGTCTCAACGGCGGGGCAGCTAGTCATGTTTTAGCCAGCGAGGATCAGCCGTACAATGACCTGGACCTGATATTCGCCATCGAGCTGAGTTCGCCGCGCGTCTTTGATCGCGTCAAGGTGGCCGTGCTCAACACATTGCTCGACCTAATGCCCGAGGGCGTCTGCAAGCGGCGCATCTACACGTGCTCCCTGAAGGAGGCCTATGTTGGCAAGATGGTCAAGGTGAATAATAACAATGACGGCGACCGTTGGTCGCTCATCTCGCTGGGCAACTCGCCCGGACACAAGAACGTCGAACTGAAGTTCGTGGACACTATGCGGCGACAGTTCGAGTTCTCTGTGGACTCGTTCCAGATAGTACTCGACTCGCTGCTGCTCTTCTACGACTGCGCCGCACTGCCCATCTCGGAGAACTTCTATCCAACGGTGGTCGGCGAGTCTGTATATGGAGACTTCCAGGAGGCCCTTTACCATTTGCAAAAGAAACTGATCTCAACGCGTCAACCGGAGGAGATACGAGGCGGCGGCCTGCTCAAGTACTGCAATCTATTGGTGCGCAACTACAAGGCCGTCGACTCGCAGCTCATCAAGACCCTTGAGCGATACATGTGCTCGCGCTTCTTCATCGACTTCCCGGACATCAATACGCAGACGACCAAGCTGGAGGCTTACTTGCGTAACCATTTCTGGGGCGTCGATGAGGAACCGCTGCAGTATCAGTACCTGATGCATTTACGCGAGGTGGTTGAGATGTCGACTGTCTGTCTAATGGGGCACGAGCGACGCCAGACGCTCCATCTCATTCAGTCGCTGGCCGCCCAGGTGCTCTTCAACAAGCAGGAGAAGCAACAGCAGGAACAGTACCAGCAACAGCAGCAGCAGCAACACCAGCAACATCAGCACCAACACCAGCAGCAGCAACACCAGCAGCAGCAACGTCAGCAGCATCAGTTCCTGGACACAGCGCAGCAGCAACAGCAGGCACAGACGCAACAGCAGCCGCAGCAAGCCACCACATTGACTTTGGTCTCGCAGGCGCCGCCAACGGCCCAGGCGCCGCAGACCATTTACGTGCAGCAGGCCGCTCCCGCTGCCGTCTGCTGCACGAGCAGCACGGATCAGACGGCGACGGCTGCTCCACAGACCATACAGATACAGGCCGGTCCGCCGGGACTCATCTACGCCAACGGCGTCTACTATGCACCTGTGATCCCCAGCACCATCTGCACGTGCAACTCCACCTGGCTGAGCACGTGATTGGAGCAGCAGCAACAGCATCATCATCATCAGCAGCAGCAGCAGCATCAGCAACAGCAACAGCAACAGCAGTTCCAGCAGCAACATCAACAGTGGTCAGAGAATACATTGGGATCGATGCTTTTGCCTGAAACTAAAACGGAACCACCACTAGAAACAGCACCGATAGCACCATTATCATCTCATCCACAATCATCACAGTCACCGTCACTAACAGCACCCGGAACCCAAGTCCCGCACCATAACAGACCAGCAAAAAGTCAACCAACTAGCACCAGCAAAAGCAGCAAGAAGAATAAGAAGGCCAGGACTCAGGCAACAACGACGGCAGGAGAGAGCAGTACTGGAACTGAAGCATCAATAGTAGCAGTAGCAGCAGCAACCATGACAAGGACATCAAAGAAGAGCAACAAAATGGATCAGGAGGCAACGGAAGCAGCAGAACCAGGTGGAGGTGGCGGCATCACGGGCAGCTTGGTGCTGACACCTCAGCAGATCAACGGACTGCCCGTCTACAGCCAACTGGAGGACGGCGTAAGATCGGCGGCTGGAACGTACAGTGGACAATTTGCCTATTTTTATCCGCACGACGGCTCGGCGCCCAGTGTGCTGCTGCTGGGCGAGGACTCCTACCTCAACGTGACCGAGCAACAGGAGCAACAGAACAATCAACTTCAGTTTGTCTAGAAGGATGTCGAGGGAAAGGAGGAGGAGGAGGAGGAGGATGAGAGGGAAGAGGGTCATTCATGTTTGCTTGCCCTGTCTTGCCCCTGTGTATACTGTTCGATTACTGTTGTTGATTCGTCGTTATTCATTCGGTTGGCTAATTCTTTTCGTTATCCTAAGTACGATGAGAGGTCTAACTTAACAACAGCTCCTTTTCTAATGCAATTCAATCGATATATACTATATATTCAATGTGACCCGTCGACTGCAAAGAAGACTTTCCACTACCCCACAAGACACTCTTGGCACCCGCTCCTACTTTAATAATGTATACATACCTGCAGACTGAACTTTCAGCCGCTGTTAGATGTTGTAAACGAGACACATACCAACCACATTACCATCTCCGAAACAAGCCACGCCAAGAAGGATTGAAAACGATTTCGAATCGAACCTATCTATCATAATTAAGGATTGTCACTAGGCTCTCTCTCACATTACTTGTGTGTGTCTAGAACTAAATTTCAATTTGTAAAATCTAAAAAAAAAAAAAAAAAAAAAAATACGAAGGGAAACATCGAAAAAAAAAATAATGTAATGCCAAAATTTAATCTGTTTGCTCGGTCCAAAATCGTTTTCATCTTTTCCAACTTTGCCCATGATCTTTTTTTTTTTTTTGTAATAAACAAACCCCTAAAAACCTAAAGCTGAAAATTATTTAATTTTGGATATGCCTCAGCACAACCCACCCACCACCACCACCACATTGTATTTTTTTTTAATAAACAAATAGAGACACACACAAAAAAAATGATTTAGAGTCGAGCCTGTTAATTATGAATTGACCTTTTTGTAGGCCAAGTGCAGCGAGTGTTGGGCTCTCTCTTCCAGTCTGGAAATTCCAAGCAACAATCTAATTGCAGGCTGAAACGATGATAGATTCAACGATGATATATGTAAATATTAGTCAAATTTGAACTGTAGTAGAAGATGTCGGAGGAGGACGAGGATGTATCTAGGCATCGAAAGCGTTGCTCAATGAAATTCAATTCACAAAACACAAGAAACTGAAATAAATGTAAAGTAATTTGTAGAAAATCAAGCAACAAAACCGATAAAAAAAATATATAGGGAAAAATCTCTGAGAAGTGTAATATTTTGTAGAACATTTTCGGTGTGTCAAGCAACAGCAACATATATGTGAATGATTGATTGATTGATTGGAGTATTTGCTAATGAAAGAAGAAGGTTAACTTCAGTTGGGTGATAATGTATGAATGTTTAAATAGATATATAAATTTATATATATTTATGAATATGAAACATAAATATTCTCTAAACAACAACAAAAAAATATTTATACTTTGAATGCTACAAACGAAATGGAAACAACAAATATAAAACCCTCAAGAAGTGTTTGCTTTATGTGTAAGTCTCCTCTTTTTGCAATTGCAACAAAAATACAAGAAAATATATAAATATGTCTAAATGTATTCACATAATGCCCGATAAATATATAAAATATATATTTATATTCACAACAAAATGAAAGACAAACAAACGGTCCACGATGATGATGTTGAATGACGTTGATGATTACGATGTTTCCTCTCTGTGTGCATTCTTTAAGAACTTTTTACCAATTACACACACACACACAACACAACCACACCACACACACGCAACACACACACACTCTTTTGTATAATGTTAACCCCCCTGAACTTGTGTTTTGAATTTATGTATTAACTTTAGTTTAAACATTGTGACATAATGTACGATGTACGCTGTATGTATGTGTATATATCCAGATTATCTAATGCATATTCGACAAGGTCCAAAGCCAACGTATTCCAATTTGCAGTCTGCAAAAACATTTTACTTAGTGCAAACTTTAAAACGTGAAGAAAACCTACAAAAAAAAAAAAAGAAACAAACACTGAAAACTGAATACTGAAACCGCGATACTAAAACTGAATCAAAATCCTAAACCAAAAAGAAAAAAAATTACAAAAAAATGGAAGAAAGGAGGAGGATGAAGCGAAGGGAAACTGTCGGTAGAATTCTTTGGTTTTGCCAGTTGCAGGAAAGAAAAGGGTTTATTTTTAATATATTTGGGTCCCACAGCAAAATAATGCCTGGGTTTTACATACAATACAATACAATACAATAACAATAAAATATAGATATATACACATATATATATATATATTATTTAGATATATGTTAGTTGGATAAGCCTGTAGAGAAGTGGACATTTTTTGAAATATCTCTAGCATGTAATTTTAAATTTATACATCTACATCTACATATATATACAGATAAAGATACCAGATACAAGATACAGATACCAGATATAATTGTAAATTCAAGCAAATCAATCAACAATCCATTGAGATTTGTATATAATATATACTTAATTACGTATATCTAATTATTATACCAACACACACACACACACCAAACACACCCCAACGCTCACACACACACACACAACCAAAACACACACCCAAAACACACCCACACACAACAATATATAAATATTACTTACATATTACATTATATCTATAAATGATAATAATAATAATGTATCTATATCTATACCATATACAAACAATTACCATACATATTACTTCTGTGCGCTTCTTGCGATCTAAGGAATTTCAATAAAAACAAACAAAAATACCTAAAAAGTATAAAACCAACGAAAAATGCAAAAAAAAATACACAAAAAAAAACAAAAAATATAAATCCCCGCTCAAGCATTTATCACTCTCGGTTTTGGGGAATGGTGCGGTGGGATTGGGAGGGTATTGGACACACACTGCCGGGGCTCGAGAAGTTCGTTGGCAGATTCGCCATCTATAACCAGTTGGCCATTCCATTCCATTGGACGACGGCGACGACCAACTGTTTCCTCCTTTCCAATTTTTATGGCTAACATCTGCCGATTATGAGAGAGGCGACTCCGATGGAGACGACACACCGAAGTGCATCCACATCCATGGCCTGGGACTAGAGCTCCAACTCGGACTACAACTTCATCTTCATCGTCGTCGCTTTCGCTTCTTCTGCCGCCCGGTTTCACTTTTTCTATGAGAGTACAATTTAATTCGCATGTGTTTTTCGGGTAATTGTATAATTTTTTGTTTTTCTTCAACAACTGCAGCCGTCTGGCTATATTATATGACCCATGAAGATGTTGATAGGTTGGAAATATGACAAATACACATTGGATTGGATGCCGCCGCGACCGGCTCAGGTGAACGGTGGTGGTTTGCCATGCGGCAGCGACTTTATAGTTGGCATCTCTGGGATATTGGTGATTTATGCATTTTGATTAGCCTGTTAATGGCCCAAAGAGTTTTTTGCGTGCCTGAAACGATACTAAGCGAGCCAAAAATAGATAACAAGTCTATGCATATGAGCGCCAGCCAACGGCAGCAGGCATACACATAGCACAAAACAAATAGCTGGGGCCCAAACACCTGCTTATTAGTGAATAGATAGGTTAATATATGTTTTTAGCAAATCATTAAAACTTCAAATAAAGCTCAAGACAGGACTGACTTGAGGCGTATACTTAATTTTCTGAAAATGAGTCTTTTTGAAAAAATTAAGTATACGCGCCATGTGGCTGGAGAAGCTTTTAAAAAGCTTTTTGTTTTATGCCAGTTAGCTTTTGTCTGCCATTTGACAAGCTCTTGGTATTTATTTAGTATGTTTTTTTATTTATTATTCTGTAGATTATTTTTTAAATTTATTTTTAACCGGGGGAAGTAACGTAGATCAGTAAAGTCAGCAAAGAAAAGTGATTAAGTTAAAGCTCTTCTTTAAAAATTAACTAATTTTTTTTTTATTAAAAAAAACTAAATATCTATAGCTTGCATAAAAATAATTGTGTACAAATTTGGAATACTGAATATATTAAAAAAATCTTGCACATATATTTTAACACAAAAGTCACAATTTATGGTATTTTAAATATATAAAACTCGTAAACTAGTTAATTCCCGTACTACAGCTGAGGCCACACTGCCAAGTCAAGTTTTCGAAAGTTTAAAGCTGGCCCAAAAGCTCTCGCCAACTTCAGTGTCGAACGACGCGGATTTCAGACGAGAAGTGGCCCAGAGCAAGAAGAAGCGATTAGAGCCGATTTTGTGAGCCACACAGAAACTTGCAACACACACCAAAAACACTTACACACAGACACAAAACACCCATACACCCAAACGTTGTGCACAAAAGTGGAGTTGAGAGACACTGAGCGAAACGGGACGCGAGACAAAAAGTGATTTGCGAGTGCGCCGCAGCTGCTACAAGGAGTTGGAGTTTGATTCATTGATTGACGGAAACCGAGTGCGTAAAGCCCGTAAAGTTGGGATTGCAAATACACACACGTACACCAGCACACCCACCCACCCACATAAACACATACAGAGAAGCGCGCGAGGGCAGAGTTACCTGAGCGACCGCCGCCGCCGCGCCTACCGCGTTTTCCCTTATCTTACACCCCCACCTCGCCGCCTCGCGCCCGCTTCGAGTATCTGTGTGAGTGTGTTTGCGTACGCCTGAGGAGTACAGGGTGTGTGTGTGCGTGTTGTCTTTTGGTGTTTTCATTTTGAAAAAAAGTTGTGTGTGCATTTTTTTGAAAATTGAAAAGAAAAAAGAAAGAAAGCTAAAAAAGTAAGAAAGAAACGAGGCCAGTTGCCAGCCGTTGCCTGGATCCTCCTTTGCGGGGGTTATACAATAACCAGTATTTTGATTTTATTTTTGTGGAAAAGCCGTAAGCCGTAAGCAGGAAAGCGTTCTTTTATTACGACAGGGTGAATATAAATACAAAAAAACCTAACAGCACACACACACACATCGAAGCAATTACTGAGAGACACGCGCACACAGTCGCACGTTTTGAACAGAAACAGAAACAGAAACAGAAAAAAAAAAGTGGAATAACCTTCAAGAGCCGAGCTTGTGCAACTTCTACTTGCTATGCCACTAATTATTTATGATTTCGGTTTAATAGCGAGAGCTTCGGCTTCGCCGTTGGCTTTGCCAGTCCCAGTGGGTGGCTCTCTAAGTTCATTCAGTGACAGGTTTATTCACTGACAACATTTACCTCGCAGCGGGAAATGCTGCTCTCAGCCCCCATTTTCCACACACACGAACACCAGCTTCAGCTTCAAGCTCAGGCTCGAGCTCCTTTGGCCCCCGCATTCGTACGTGCTGCAACATCGGCTGCGAATGCATTAGGAATTTATACGAAAAATACATAAATAAGCGAGTGGCGAAGCATTTTGATTGAGCTCAAAGAACCGGACCCCAAAAATAAAAAGAAAACCTGCCAGCTTTCACCACTGCCATTTCCTTTCCCCCCCCGCTTGGGGCTTTTCCTTGTGCCTCTTCTTCTTCTTTTTCTGTGTGCTGAATATCAAATATGACTGCAGTTTGGCCCCATCAAGCCATCAATCCTCCTCTGGAACCAGCTGCGAGGGTTACAGGCATGGCTGCATGGCTGGCTGGCTGGCTGGATCCCCTCGAGGATGGCGGTTAATTGCCAGTGCAATGTCCAACTCAAACCCTCGAGGCTAGCCAGCCCGAGCGCAGCTCCATTATCAAACGATAGTGAAATTGCTCAGAGACAGCCAGGGAAAACGCTTTGGGCCCAGTAGTTGGCTGTAAAAGGTCATAATTTGAGTTTCGAAGCCAAATAACTAGTTAAATGTTTACCATTGATATGTAAAATTAACTTTGGAACTCTAGGAATTGCTTAAAAAGCTTTTTCAGTACTAGTTTTTGTTTCAAGTTTAAAGTTTTATTAGAAAAGTACTGCGCATTTCCAATTCAAAGACTGGTTTTAGTTTTGTTTTTAATTTCATATTTCATAGATTCCCTTTCTATATTCATTTTTAACAATCTTTCAAACAAAATTTGCTGGTAAAACTGAAAAGACAGGCAGACCTATGATAAAAATCTAGTTACTTAAGTTCGTGCCATAAATCTCTTTTCAGATATGAAAAAAACGTGAGCCAGCTGGGTTCCGTACATTTTTAGATAATGGTACTTTTTCCGTTTTAAGCTGCTTTAAGTTTTGTACTCGTATTTTATATTCCCAACTAAATTTTATATTCCTAAATAAGCCGATGAGCTACAGATACTTTCAGATACTTTGCTTATTTCTATAAAACTCATTGAACTTGTACCACTCTGACCACTCTGTTGGCCCCACTGTGCACCTCATTCCAGCAACTGACAATTATTAATAAGCGTTTTAGCATTTGCCGCTGCCATACAATATGTGTGTGTACTCAGCACACATAAACACACACATGTTTGTGGAATTTCCTTAATAGAAATGTAATTTCCCCCCTAACCAATCGGCATTATAGCCGTATATTGGAGTTATTGTGCTCGCCTGGGCCAGCTTATTGGGGTCATTGGAGCTGGCCGAGCACGGCATGGACAATTACCGAGTGAAGCTATTGTTCCGACATGCCAAAGCAGGGTATTTGACCATCCATTTAATGCTCCGGCAATCGCCATTATATAAATGCATTCGCCGCGGATTGTGGTTTGTCGTAGGAGAAGGATGGATATTGGTATAGACCAACCAAGAAGCTTCGGGCTGACTGCTGCAAATTATAATTAGTTTTTGGGGGGAACCTGTGCGACAATTTGACACAATTTGGTGGCAGATAATGCCCAGAAAATTGCTGCAATTTGTCGCTAACAATGGCGGGGTGGTGCGCTGGATCGGGAACTGGGAAATTGGGAAATTAATCTCGGTGACGTCAGGGCCCTGTATTGTTGTTGCCAAACACTAAGCCGAGAATCGGCTGGCCGGGCGGGCGGGCCATTGGCTAATGATTGGAACGCTATATGGCTATATAGTCGCGACTGGCGACGAGGTTAGGCCTTGCCTATGACGCATCCGAAGTAAATATAAACAACAAATATTTGGGCGGCGGTGACTTGACGCTAAAATTCCAAAGATACACAAATCGGGGACCGCTTCCCGACTGGCACTGTGTGTTTCGGTGGCGGGATTGGATTTGCTTTTTGGCCCGTCTCTCTCTCTATCTGGGGCCAGCCAGAGAGATCAAAAGGCAAAGGACAATGCCAACAACCTGCGCACATATAGAAGCGGCACACACGCCGTATACTTAATGTGTGTGTTCGTTCGGTTTCGCTCCGTGCCAAGCGCAGCCCAGTTGGATTTGCTTGGCACTCCGGTGGTAATGCCAATGCTGCTACTACTGCCACTGCCACTGTCGTTGCCCCTGTAGTTTTACATGCCCCACGACGCCAACAAAATCCAAGTATTTTGTATTTTTTGCAACACTTTTTTTCTTTATTCTTTCTGATTTTTTTTTTTTTTGTTTTTTTGGAACATGCCCAGCTCGACAGAGGCCTTGGCATGTGGGCGACAATTTCGCATTTATTATGCAACAGTTTGGCGGATTGAGCGTGTAGCGTAAACAAACTTGCTGGCAGCAATTCTTGCCGAAATGAGAACGGGTGGCGAAGGGCATCGCGTCGAGAGCCCCATAACGAGGCCCATATATGTAGGGAGAAGGTGACAGTCATGATCGACACATGAATACCCTTTTTAATTGGGTATTTTGTATACTTCAAGTTTAAAGTTAGCTTTGGTACTTATAGGAACCTAGAGAGCTAAGGGAAAAGGTTAATAAAATTACTTAAAAAATATATTTAACATTCCCACTTCCTTCAAGAATTTCCCCGAAATAAACACTTTCTTAGCTTATTTTGTGATACTTATTTACCAAAGATTTGTAGAAATATATATTAAACCACTTAATTAATTAAAGAATAAAATGTACTCTTTCAAACTCTGTCTACATGCAAATACCCTCGAGTAGAGCTTGTTCAATTGAAACCCATTTTTATTGATTTTCACGCTTACTCTCCAACAAGTCCCAGTGTTTGTTTGTATTATTAATTAGCGTTCTATTGAAATATTGCCATCTTATCTATAATCATAACATTATTCAATCGATTATATGACAGAAAACACCATATATCATATACGTTGGGCTTTGAAATACTAAATTAATAAAAGAATTTAAACTATCGATCCTTCTTCACAATAATTTGTTTATCTTCGCTTATTGCCTTACCAATTTTCCCCAGCAATTTGAAAACCAATTATAGTGTATTAGCCTTCAGCAGATTTTGGTATCATTGAACCAATATGCTCCCCACACCTCTTTTCCTATTTGCATTTAAGTTGTTTGCCTCCTGCAACTTTTCACAATTTCCGAAACCCACCCACCTTTCTCTCTCTCTCTCTCTCCAGGGGGTGCAGGCGGAGAGGAATTGTTGAGGCAGAAATCATGTCATGCAGCACAGTTGAAATAATGTAATTGACTCGGGCACGCCAACTGGCAAGACAAATCAAGGCGAGGCGAAGGAAAGCTGGGAATCACATGTGCTCGCCCCCATTGGACTTTAGCCAGTTGGGTAACGTAACTGCCGGTTGAGGTGGTCTGGAATGGTCTGGTGGGGGATATGGTCTGGCTAGTGATTGCTCATGCCGAATGCAAGCCGAGGACTTTACGGCCAAGCCAGTTATCAGCAGGAGCCGGGCCTCTGCCACTTGGCTGGGCAAAGTTGCAACCACAGCTTAAGGCGAATATATTTCAGAGAAATACAATTAACAATAAATATTCATATATTCTGGGATTAAAAAAAGGAATATGAACAAGTTTGTTATAATAAAAGTTACAAAAACAAATGTAAAAGATAGTTGGGATATTAAATTGTTTAATAAAAATAGTTGCTCTGTGTTAAATGATAGAATAATTGCTAAAGAATTAGTGAAAGCAATACCTTTTCGTAAGAAGTAAAACTACACTATTATTTAGTTGATTTCCCCAAAAAACAGATAATATTTGGTCTTCTAAAACCCTTTTTTCGCTGACAAAAGCAGATTTACTAAATTTAAACAACGTAGATAATAATTCCTTAAAAAATATGGAATTCCTCAGCGATGATCCCAGACTTTCCTATATTTTTACAGTGCGCACTTTGTTTATTTACTCCCCCGATAAGCTTGAGGGTATGAGTGGCTAGTAGCAGTGGGGCTGGTCAAAAGACCAACTCAGTTAAGACGTCATTTGCCTTTCAACAACAACAATCATAAGTATTCTGTAAAGTATTTGTCAATTTTGATCGGTGGTTAGACCAGTCTAACTTGTATACAGGGTGCCTGTTCAGTGGAGAATACAAAATCCAATAAGAAAAACAAAAGTTTGCCAAACTTATGCAAGACCCTCGATCAGCAACCGATCACGTAAAGCTACGCCCCCCTCTTTCTTGTCCCCATTAAGAACATTTGAATGTGTGGCTAATTGCCGTTCGTTGGCCAATCGGGCTATGGAAATGACGTTATAGTGGCTTCCATATATGGAGAGACACGTTGAATGAAGCTTATTATACACACATAATGGAGGCCAGGGAAATATATACATCTCTCTTGTGTTTACAACTTTCTTATCTTTCCTGTTGATCAACTTTTGTGTGGGGGTTTAAGATGCCAATAAAGATTCGAGAGATTCTTCGCAGTGCAAAGTGAGAAGTGAAAAGAAGGAAGGTTTTTTCCATGCTGATTCAACATTTATTTTTAACTCTTTTGGTATATTTTTGTCTTTAAAGTGATCTTTTTATATTGAGAATGATAATTAAGTAAGGAAAAATTATAAATAATAATGAGTTAAGTTATGGTAAAGGTGTAAACTAAATATAGAGCCTTGAATTACTTAAAATTTTTCTTTCAAACTCTGGCATTTTCCATTTACTAAAAAGTAATTATTTTTGCGGCTCGCTTACTTTACAGTAAAACAAAAACCTCAAGGTTTCTTCAAGGTCTTATATATTACAATTGTGACAGGATGTTTTATTAAATATTTATTTATTCTTAAGTACTTTTACACACACGTCTTTACAATTTGATCGCTCGAATGACAGTGATCTCGCTGCACGTAGGCAGCTCTCTTCAACCCCGAAAACCAGTAGCGACGCTCTCTGAGAGAGAGAGTGTAACCTGCTCTCTCAGAGAGCGTAACTCATCGAATCGTGTGCCCAGACCCCACTTAATGCAATTGGCCTGCTACAACTCGGCCATCCTGACCTTGAGATAGCCCACTATCTCGGCTAAAAATATCTTAAATTTAGTCTTAGAATTAGTTAACAATTCATATAGTTTGTACAATTTCTTTTCTCATTTTTTAGTTTACAATTTTCTTGATTTTTATCTTTAACATTCTGTTTCAATTTTATTTATCTAGATTTACTATCATCTTTCATCCAATGCCGAATATTATTAGCGCTCCAAACTCCTTGATATGGATTTCGAGATAATTGAAACCCATCGATGTCTTTTAACAAAAATCTATCATTTCTCAAAACTTTTCCAATAATGTACGGTCCTTTGTTTTTGGGTATTAACTTCCTACTAACTCCTGCGGTACTATCAAAATTCTTTACCATTACATAGTCTCCTTCTCTGTATTCTGAATTCAGCTTTCTTTTCGAATTGTAATAGGTTTCGTTTCTTAACTGCGACTTTCTTTGATTTTCTTCTGCTTTCTGTCTAAGTTGTTCTAAATTTTTCCTATTTTCCTCAATGATTTCTTCTTCACTTTCTAAGTTTTCTATAATTTTTTCTTCACCTTCTAAATTTTCTTCAATTTCCTCTTCGCCTTCTAGTTTTCTTCTTAGTTGTTCTAAATTTCTCCTGTTTTCCTCAATAATTTCATCATCATCCTCTAACGTTTCTCTAACTTTTTCTTCCTCTTTTAACTTTTCCTTAAATTCATCACTATCTTCTCCCCTCTGGGCTATTCCGAATAAAATTTCACTGGGAAACTGCTTAATGCTGCTATGCAGTGTATTATTCAACGAATACTCTACCTTCTCTACTACTACATCCCAGTGTAGTCCTCTTTCTGGTTCTGAAAGTTTCGCAATCATCGGTCCTAAACTTCTATTTACTCGCTCCACTTGACCATTGGCTTGTGGTGATCCCGTAGCAATTTTTATGTGTTTTATATTCCTTTCCTCAACAAAATTTGCAAAATCCGTTGATGTGAAGCAACTTCCTCGATCTGATATAATACACCTAGGTCTGCTATACGCCCGAAAATAGTCTGCTAATGCGCTCAAAACTTCCTTTGTGTTTGTTGTTTTCGTAGTATAAAGCCTAACAAATTTCGTGAATCCATCTATCACCACTAATATATGCTTCTTTGATCTGCTATTGTCTACTGGGCCATAATGATCAATATGTATCACCTCAAATGGCTTATTGCCTTTCGGTATACTGTGTAGCAATCCATCTCCTTTACCTACTTTAGGAGAGAACGCTATACACTTCAAACAGTTTTGAATGTGTTCACAAACCTTATCTTTCATGCTCGGGAACCAATAACTTTTACTAATAGCGTCTAACATCTTATCCGTCCAATATGCCCTAATTCGTCATGATACTTGTACAAAACATGTTGCTCCATTCTACTTGGTACATAAAACAGTAATCTATTGTTATTATCCTTTCTATATATAACCCCATTCCTCATCTCAAACCATTTATGTTCTCTGTTCTCTAAAATTTCCCTAATTTCTTTTAGCTTCGTATCTCTTGCCTGACAAATTATTAAGTTATCTTCAAAAGTATTTGCGTCTATTATCATAACATTATTACATCTGCTAAGTGCATCGACATGCTGCATTTGCCTACCTGCTCTGTGCTTCAATTCATAATCAAATTCCTGTAGCTCTAAAGCCCATCTCGCAATTCTCGGGTTTAAGTCTATCTTATTCAGAGTTAATGTTAACGAGTTACAGTCTGTGACGATTTTGAAAGGTTTACCCTGTAAATATATCCTAAACCTTCTAAGTGCATAAATAATAGCTAACGTCTCTAACTCAAAGCTATGATATTTCGCCTCAGTCGGAGTGGATCTCTTCGAAAAGTAAAATATTGGGTGTAGTTTCTTATCTTCCTTCCTCTGCAGCAGTACAGCTCCAAAACCTAACGCACTCGCATCGCAATGAAGCTCAACATCATCTCTATGATCATATAGAGCCAGCACTGGGGCTGCTACTAATTTATCCTTCAAAAGTGTAAAACAATCCAACTCTGCTTTCCCAAACTCGAACGTCTTATCTTTTCTCAACAGGTCATATAGAGGTTTTGCCAATATCGAAAAGTCCTTTATAAATCGTCGAAAATAAGAACACAAACCTAAGAAACTTTGTACAGCTTGCACTTTACTCGGAATTGGAAAATTTTTTATTGCTTCTAGTCCCTTCTCATCAGCTTTTATTCCTTCCTTTGAAATTAAGAAACCTAAATATTTTACCTTATCTTGTAGAAACTTGCATTTATCCATTCTAAGTTCTAATTTATTTTCCACTAATCTCCTAAATACTTCTACTAATATTTCTAAATGTTCTTTGATATCGTGACTTGCAATTAAAATATCATCCATGTATATTATAACCTTATTTTCTCGAATCATATCAGAAAAAATATCATTCACAAATCTTTGAAATACCTGAGGCGCTGTTTTCAAACCCATTGGCATACGTAAAAACTCAAACTGTCCTAATGGCGTTGTAAAAGATGTATACTTCACCGAATCTTTGTTCACGAACACATGAAAGTACCCATTCTTTAAATCCAATTTTGTAAATACCGATTTTCCAACCAATTTATCCAATAAGTCATCAATTAAAGGAATTGGATAATTATCTTTGACCATAATTTTGTTTAGCCTTCTGAAATCGATGCATAGTCTAAGCTCGCCACTCGTTTTCTTCACTAACACTATTGGAGAAGCGTATTCAGACCTACTACTTTGAATAATTCCATTTTCTAAGTATTCATCTAACAATTTCTGTAACGCTTCCTTTTCACTATACGATAGCCTCCTAGGTACACAACTAAATGGTTTTGAGTTCTCCAGAATTATATTAATTTCACATCTACTTTTCGGCAATTCAGGTCTCGGAACATGTATATAATTCGACTCTAATATTCCAATTAACTTTATTTTGTCTGTATAACTAACCTGTTCTCCAATATCATAAACCCTTTCTTCCTTCTCATGCTCTAACATATTTATTTGCATCATTTCCTTTTCAAAATTTTCCTCCAAAACTCCCATTGGTTCATCTAACTTCTTTGTACCTAAAAGTTGCTCATCGAAATTGTTTGTTCCACCTATCCTTACATCTTCCTCATATGCATTCCACAATGAATCTTTATTCAAAACTGTACCTTCAAAATTCTCATTCCAAATTGTACCTAAACTTTGTTTACCTAAGCTTGTACCTAAACTGTTTCTAATTAATGTTGTACCTAAACTCTTTCCCTCTAATGTTGTACCTAAACTCTTTCCCTCTAATGTTGTACCTAAACTCTTTTCCTCTAATGTTGTACCTAAACTCTTTTCACCTAAAGTTTTACCTAAATTCTTTTCACCTAACCTTTCACCTAACTGTTCATCCAAATAACTATCTCCTAATCTTGTACCTAACTTTATGTCGCCTAATTTTATTCCTGCATTTTTTAGTTCCATACAATTGTTGGAAAGCTCTTTCGCTTTCTTCTCGACATCAGTTTCAACACACTCTACAGTTACAATTTTCAATGCTTCCAAATCAATTTCTAGACCACAAACTTTCATAAAATCTCTACCCAGCACAATATTACAGCCCATAGATTCATCAGCCACTACAATTAATTTAAACCAAATCTTTATTTCATTTTTTAATATAAAGCATAATATTTTTCCAAAACTTTTCAATAAGCTTTTGTTTATTCCAAAATAACTCTCTTCTTGAGGTTCTAATTTAATATTCGCTGGTACATATGAACGCTTAATAAATGAAACTGGGCTTCCCGAATCTATTTGGCACTCTGTAATAATAGGCTGGTTAGGATATTCACTGCAAAAAATTTTCAACAATCTTACATAATTGTTTTCTGCCTTCTTCTTATTTCCGGGGCATTCAGCAATCCGGTGATCCTCTGCGCCGCATCCGTAGCACGAACCTGGCGACCTCTTTGGCTTAGTGCACTCCCTCTTCCAGTGCCCCTTCGCGTTGCAATTGAAGCAACGAGTCTCGCTGCTCGCTGGAACCGCCTTCGCTGCCGCCAATTTCGCCATGGCTGGCCCCCTTGCTGGGAGCCTAATGTCTGCAAACGCCCTCAGCATCCTCTCCGGGCCATCAAAACATTGGAGCTTGGCCTGTGTACGCAAGCTTAGTACTGGAATGCCCTCCACGAGCCCATCCAGTAGTTCGTCCTCGTCCATTGCGACATCTCGAGCCAGTCTGCATTTCTCGCCAAAGTATGTGGCAAACTGCTCATTTGGAGACCAACTACGCGCTTCGAACTTGCGACGTAGGACAGACTTGGACTCGATGCCTCCAAACGCCAACTTGAGTTGTTCCAGCAACTCATTAACAGGCTTCGCAAACCGCCCTGCATCAGCATGCATCCATTCCAACGAATTTCCCTTCAATTTGCTGATCAGCAAAGCACGTCGCTGCATGTCTGACAGAGAATATAACGCTGATATATTCTCGTATTGCGCAATCCACGACCGCACAGACACTTTCTCAGTGAAATCCATTAAGATTTCCCTGGCCATGTTAAAGCCGGGTGACAACAAGCCGCTAGTTTCAAATCTGCCTCCGTTTTGCTGCACACCAATTTCGCCAGAATTGCCTCTGACGCCGCTTCTATCGCCGTCTCGCTCTTCGCGTCTGTCGCCGTTTCTATCTCCATCTCTGCCTTCACCTCTGCCGCCGCCCATATCGCCGTCTCTGTCTTCGCCGCTGCCGCCGCTTCTACCGCCGCCTATCTCGCCGTCTCTGTCATCGCCGCTGCCGCCGCTTCTACCGCCGCCTATCTCGCCGTCTCTGTCATCGCCACGCTGTGTGTTCTCGAAGCTTCTAACGCTCTGCTCCAAATTCTCGGAACTGCTGTTGCCGTCTCTGTTCCTCAGTTGCGCATTTTCGCCTCCTTCATTCTCCGTGTCTTCGTTGCCGATCTGGCGATTTAAATTTTCCAGCTTTTTCTGTGCCTTTGCAATTTCGACACGCAAATTTTCCAGAGTCTGAACTTCGATCTGCATCTCCTCGCCGCTTTCCATGTCCAGCTCACGGGACTCCACGTCCGGCTGCAAAATTTGTTGATCCATTTCGGTACAATTTTCGGGAGCGCTTCCTCGAACTTCTACCGGAACTTTGGCTAGCCGCGCAAACAGCTCGTTCTTCGTTCCCTTTGTCGACAATTTCAGCACCTCCAGCCACCGTTTTAATTGTACCACTGTTATGTCACTAATGTTTAAATCCATTTTAATCACACTGGCGTTGGGGGAAATTTTTTCCCCAATCCCACTTCTGAAGTTTGTGACAGGATGTTTTATTAAATATTTATTTATTCTTAAGTACTTTTACACACACGTCTTTACAATTTGATCGCTCGAATGACAGTGATCTCGCTGCACGTAGGCAGCTCTCTTCAACCCCGAAAACCAGTAGCGACGCTCTCTGAGAGAGAGAGTGTAACCTGCTCTCTCAGAGAGCGTAACTCATCGAATCGTGTGCCCAGACCCCACTTAATGCAATTGGCCTGCTACACAATTAGAGTCTGTTTTAAAGGCTTACCTACAGCTACTTAAGAGTCATTTGTTAAAATTAACCAAGTATTTCCAAGTAAAGAAATGTATTTATATTTATTTAAAGCTCTAATTGTTTCTATTGTTTTAAGATCAGGCTTTGTATTTTTGATTATAACCAATTAGCCTTAATTTAAGCCAGATAACAAACATTTATATATAACTTAAACCTAGTATATTCCCTTTAAATCAACAATGTTTACTCAAGTGTGTGGATAATGTGACTGTGGAAAGTTTTATACTCGACACAAATCCGTGACAATGCCAGTGATCCATCTCATGATGTATTTCCATGTGCATATATAGCCGCTCGATTCCCAAAGAGCCAATTTGGGTCAGAGTCTTGCCTCCATTTTGAGGTTTCTGCCGTTTTCTCACCTGCACCTGAAAAGGGCAAAGGGCAGCGGGCTCAACTGGTGGGCGGAGGCGAGGGCGTGGGCGGTGTGGTACCGCCCTCGAGCGTCTGATATGGCAATTAAGAGCGCAGCTGCAGTTTGCACTTCCCAGCTTTTCTAGCCTTTGCTTTTGTTTTCACCTTTCACTCGGCTCGTGTGACGCACATTCAGGTGTGCTGTGAGATGAAGGGTGGAAGCTGTGGGTACGGGGGATTCACTGCAGCATCAGCCCTTAGGTTACGACGTTCTATAGAGATACAGTGATGGGAAGTTTTTGTTCGCTAGAATTGCACTTTGATTTAAGGTTTTTTTTGGGAACTTGTTAAAGTTTTAAAGCTCAAAAGTCCATAAACTTTTGAATAGAATGCATGTAATTTATACTTTTTAGAAATATTGTTTTGTTATACTAAAAACGAGAAATATTTTTAATATTATATACTTTTTAGTTTTAAATATACAAAAACATTTGATGAATTAGTGTCTGTTTTCAAAACACATTCTTTTTTCTCTATCTTCAAGATTATTTAAATAAATAAATTAAAATCAGAATGAAATGTTAATTTTGTAGTATTATTATGTTAAATATTCCACAATCGCATTGATATATACAAAATATCCCATTTAATATGATCACACCCTCCTCACCATTGTAGAACCCAATTTGAGCACAATTTTCCTTGACGTTTTTTGTGTTTACCCGCGAATTAAGATCTTCCGTCTACGTGATGACAACTAACGATGACAATTAGAAAGTAAATATTTATAGATTTCATTCACTGCCTTTTTGGCTCCACAGCGAACTAAATGGCCTTCTGGTGAGAAGTGTCGACTAGCTTCAGTCGTTGTGATTCATTCGCGGAGTTCTGGACACTCGGAGATAACTTATACCCACTTATACACTCACATTCACACTCATACTCAGATTGTACGGGCTGAAACTGGCTGAAGCCGGACAAAGAGTTGATTGTAAACAAATTTTGTTGGCCAAAATGGGAACGGCACCACCTCGAATTGAGTGAGCAGAACAGGTTATGTTGCGGGGATAACTAAATTTAGCCAGTTGAAGACTGATTGATTGATGACTCAAGCTATGTGCATATAACTAACTTCATTTGCTTCTGTTTCCAATCCACAGAGCGATGCGTCTCGACACGAACTCAAATGTGGACTTTAAAGCATTCGAATCCAGCTCCAGCCCATGTGTAGGTTCTTCGATATGTTGTTTCCCTAAAGGGTTGCTCATTGTTTATGATCTTACAGCTCGTCAAACTGGATAACCTGGCCACCTGGGGTGGCTCACAGAAAACAGACACACGGCTGCCGATCACGGACTATTCGTCCTTGGGCGGACCACGGCACAACCGCAGTCCGTTTCCCCTGTCCAAAGATGTCAACAATCGCTTTGTAATATGGTAAGATTAGAAAAACTGATCAAAAGACTCTTACTTAATGCCATTTATTTATGCTTTCCAGGGACGGTGACATGACCACATTGGATGTGGACGCCATCACAAATACCAGCGATGAGATTCTGACTGAAAGCAATAGCATATCGGAGCGGATCTTTGCCGTGGCTGGCAACCAGCTGCGCGAGGAGCTGAGCACCACTGTCAAGGGTTAGTCTAAGGTTTAAGGTTTATCTAAAATATATCTCTCATATAATATATCTCTCTTTTAGAGTGCCGCACTGGGGATGTGCGCATCACGCGTGGATACAATCTGCCCGCCAAGTACGTGCTGCATACGGTGGCACCTGCCTACAGGGAAAAGTTCAAGACGGCGGCGGAGAACACATTGCACTGCTGCTACAGGTGCGTTAGAGAACTGTGAAAGTTTGAAAGTTTAGTTTTAAATAGAAATATCAAGACAAAGTCCTTGAGAAATGCCTTAAAAACCAAGAACTATTCTTGTTACTGCTCTTGTTAAAAAATCTTTCTAAATTTCCTTATTTCCCTCACAGAAATGTCCTGTGCAAGGCGAAGGAGCTGAACCTGCACACTATTGCCCTGTGCAACATCAGTGCAAACCAAAAGAGTTTTCCCGCGGATGTGGCCGCCCACATTGCCCTGCGTAAGTATTTTCTTGAGACATTTTCCACTGAACCTTCTTTAAATATTTTTTTTCTATCTGCATAAACAGGTACTATCCGTCGATATCTGGACAAGTGCACCCTGCAGGTTGTGATATTGTGCGTGGGCACCAACGAGCGTGGCACGTACGAGGTTTTGGCCCCACTGTACTTCCCCCGGGATCAGCTGGAGGAGCGCAGTGCCCTGTGGCAACTGCCCAAGGACATTGGCGGCGAGTTCGGTGAGCCACAGCACCCGGATCCCGATCGCCAGATACGCATTATCCGCAATCCCCAGCACAGTGTCCACATGCGTCATCGTCAGGGTGAGTTAATATATTGGAAACGTATTAAATATAATGATTTATAAGGGGTTTTATATATAAGAACTGATACTTTGAAAGATGATCGTAGTTGTTACTCATAACTGATTACTAAAACTCTGGAAAATATTGTATAATATAGGCAAAGGTTTATCTCTTGATCTATAAATACCCAGAAATTAATCATTACTTATTGTAATGTTTATTGTAATATTTCTTTATAAGATCAGATCTTAATTTTTCTTTCCGTGCACCTCCAGAGATTGTAGCTTCGCGATTGTTGCCTCCGTCATTGTTTGCTCATCGCCCGCTTATCAATCGGCTGTCGATGATAATGACTGTGTTATCACCTGGCAATGATTCCGTATGAAATATATTGAGTTCCATTGTTGGGCTGTCGATAAGATTAGTACCGAAAAAACACAAGAGAAAACGCACACTTGGAATAAATGGGAGAAAAATTCACTCGTCAGCTATGTATCTTGACTGACTGTTCCACTTGTGGGGCTTCAGTTACGTTGCAAAGTCGGTTGTGTGCGGGTCACTTGGCAGTAGCTGCATTCGATTGGTCAGCCAAAAGTCGCGCGTTTTCGGTTTATTTTGGATATACTAGTAAATTGCTTAAATAATTTATATACTCTATAGTTTATAAGTAAGTGTTGTAGCCAAGGATATTATTTTTAAGCATTGTGGAGTCTAATTTAAAGTGAAATTGTGAAATTTAAGATATAAACATGATGTCGCAGTTGGGTAGGGCTGATTGACAGCAGGCTGAGTGCTATGAAAGCTATATTCAATATAGCTATACAATTCGTAGCATACTTTTGCGATGAAAGTGATGTCGAGTAAAAGAAATTACTTTTTTAAGCCTAGTACTCTGACGAGAAAAACCCGCTGTATAAATTAGACAGCGGAATCGCTGTTTATTTCGCTACCGAGCTAGTGTGACCAAAAAAATTAAGGAAATTCCATGAAAATGTACTTTTTATGGCGTTTAAGGATTTTCCTTGGTCGCACTGGACAGCTGTTTGTAAACAAATATTCAAAAAAATATTAAAAATATTAATAAATATGGCATTAAAATGTCCTTTGTGGGTTAAATTCCATATTATGGGCTTCCCCTTGACAGCCCCTATCAATGTCACCTTTTTCCTTCAACTTTCCCTCCATTAGGGGTGTCTAAATAAATCAAATGAATTATTTAGACAACGCGATATCAGCTGTTTACTATCTTGATCTGGCAACGCCATTCAATTTTCGCAGGCTTCATTTTCGTCGTCAGAGTACCGAAAAAAACGAGGTGTCTAAAAGTTCTTCTTCTTTTTTTTTCGACACCGTTTTTTTATATGGAGTTTGGCCGCTGTCTAAATTTATACAGCGGTTTTTTCTCGTCAGAGTACTAGGCTTTAATGTAGAAAGAAGGTTTCGTTTGAAGGCCAGTTAAATAATGGAAAATCAATAGCTTGAAATTTTGGAGACTCATTTTAATTAGTTTCTGAAAATACTGTAAACTACTAAAAAACTCTTTGAAAACTTTAAATACTTTAAAATGAAAGTCAATTTTATGAAGGGGAAAGATAAGCAATTCCCAAAAACACGTTTGAAAGAATATAAAGAATAATACTAAATAAACATTTAAATAATCAATAATTATATTTATAATAATTCTATATATTTATAGGTATACAATTATAGTCATAATTATTATAATTCTCTAATTTTGTAAAATCTGTTATCTTTAAATCTCATAAAAAATCCTGACTAGTTAATCTCCCCTTAAATTACAAACCTTTTTGCTGAGTACGTTTAATTATTTAGTTATTTAATCGTGTTGACTTAACTACAAAACATTTTGGTATTTGTATTAATTGTTAGTTTATCAACAAGTTAGCTAACTTAACTGAGAATCTCTGCTTATCGCAACGAGTGTCACTCACTCGTGTATGTGTGTGTGGGCCAAGTTTTCTTTTCGGGCCTAAATCATGTCAACGCGTTATCAGAGTTATCAGTTTATCTCTCTCTCTCGAGAGAGAGATCTCCCCAGAAGCAGAGCAAAAGAGGAGAGCTTGTTGTGTGGGGGGGCGGTCAGCATCCAGTTTTTGCTCAGCGCTCGTGTGCGTTTTACCGCTCGTCGTCGCTTTGTCATTTGGCCAGAGCTTGTGTTCCGTTCAACTCACATTCCGCAGTGCCGAAGTTCGAAAAAGATACAAAAAGTGCAATAAAAGTTTGCTCTGCGCGCCGATAATCGAAATCCAGCGCAGAATGATAAACAACTCGTTCGAGTTCTCGTGTAAAGATCATAAATCCCATTCCCTTCTACTCCCCTCTATGACATACAGTGCATAAATATGTATTTAAATTATAATTTAAACATTATACCAAAGGGATTAACATGTTATTAAGCCGACATATAAAAATATATGAAAAATAAAGCATGTTTTTAAAAGGAATATATACATATGCTCTAAAAAAGTTTAATATTATGTTTAAGGGGAGGAACTTTTTATAAAAGTCTTTTTTACTCTCCCAAATATTTATATTAAATAGCAATAAGCCTTGAAGTTATTTGTATTTTTCCTTTTTATAATTAAATATTTCCTGAGATAGGTTTACCTTGAGATCCAATTCCATCAATCTTATAAACCATTATACTATATTTTTCAAGTAACTAATCCAAGATACTTATTTTCCATCTCTTCCTCCTTAGCCGACGACGATTCAGACGTCAGTCCGCACGACATGGAAGGTAACAGCTCGGATCTGGAGTATGGAGCTCGGGATATGAACGGTCTCAGCCTGAATTCCTATAGCAGTGGCTTGCAGGCCCAGCTTCAGGTAAATTTCATTTAAATAACTTCCTAGAAAACCAAGAACCTAATTTATATAATTTTTTGATCGTCAAATAGCGGGATTTGGACCGACAGCATCTGCTCAGCGATCGTCCGCGCACTGGAGTTTATGAGAATGTCATATCCGAAGGAGTAGAAGGCATCGAGCACCAAGAGAGGTGAGTGTCGAGGCGCCACGCATATACATAAGTAGAACAAAATCTGTAAGAAATAATATAGGGTTTGTCAGGTTAAAGGGTTACACAAAACAATGGGACTTTGATTTTCTTTAAAACCTCTAAAAAGGTTATTAAAAATTAAGCAGAATGTTACCAAGGTTGGAAAATTTAAAATAGTTAAGATATTGATTAGTTTGGGGACCAGGAAAATCTTGTTATCAAAAGATATTTTAATATCTAGTAATAAGGAAACCTTTTTTAACAAAAGGAACCTCTGACAGGTCAGATTATCCTCTATATTTATGATATAAATTTGTTATATTATATTATATAATTATCTGCAAAAAGAGGCTGATTAAGATCATAATTTCCATTCTTTGTTTATTGCTTAATCGCTGGCACTTGTTCAGATAAAGGTATCACTAATGGACTTTTATGGATTTATCGGGGTAGATCTTCAACGATTTCAGATTACGCGATGTCCCAGGCTGACATCTGTAGTTCATAAAACCGCCGGAAAGACACGCAGAATGGCTAGCAGGCCACCTCCAGCTCCCCATAAACACCTCGTAAGCGAGCCTTTTTGGCCTAGCATATTTATTACAAGAACTTGCCGGAAATATCTTAACCGTCTGGCAAAATGCCTATTCCCACCATCGCTCCTAAGCCATCCGCTCTATGTAAATTCCGCCGCTTGACGAAATTTTAGAGACTCGTGGCACGCAATCCGGGAGCTCGGTCTGGGGCACAAATTGAATTGAATTGAAGTGGAATGAAGTGGAGTGGCGCAAGGAAAGTGCTTGCTTGGCCATCGTCCTGCACAATGCTAATTGGAAGGGCCAAGTGCCTTTCTGTGCTTTTCCTCATGACGTCGTCCAGTGTGACGTATGAATATGAAAGGCTGTGGCGTCATAGTTTGCATGAAAGAATCCCCAAGCGAACCAGCTGGGGAATATTCTTATTTATAGCCCTTTTGGTCAGTTCCATTTGGGGGCAGGTCTAAAAAAACAGAGTTTAATTAATTTTATGAGCAGCCAGGGACCTTAAAAAGACTTTGAATGACTATTATTTCAAGGAATCGTAACTTTTTAATGTTATTTAATATAGTTTTTGTAAATTAATGGTAAATTGGTAAAGAAATGCTTTAAAAATTGTGGTAAATATTTATTTTTATTCACAGTTCATTATTTTACAGCATTCTTAACTTTTAAAAGCAACGATATTTATAAATAAACCCAAGATCAAAGTTGATTACACTCTAAAGAAAAAGCTATTAAAACCATCTGAATAATATTTATTTTTTCGTTTACGTGGTTGCTAAAAAAATAAAGCTTAGAGGTAAATATTTATGAATATTTACAAATGCTCATATGAGCAGAGATAATGTCTGTGACAAAAGCCAGTGCGATGGAGAATAGATAAACGCTTGAAAGGTACCAAACTCCAAGTGATCTAAATCAAAATAATGCCAAATAAATATTGTGTATACGTAATACATTTCCATAATAAAATAAATCCCTGAATAAATCTATTAATATTCAAAAATGTCTCATTGCTGGGACCTACAACAAAGTAATTCCCCAAAATATTCATATTAAATTGAACAAGAAAGAAAGCAAACTTTGGCCAGCCAAAGTTTGTATATCCTTGCAGGTAACAATTAAAATATATCATTACTAAGCCAAAAATTCATTAATTTCGATTCGGAAAGCAGTTTTGTATTAATTTTTTCTAATTTAAAAAAACTGCATACCAAATTAAAAATTTTAAGAAATCAAAATGTTTGGCCATTTTTGCTAATTTTAATGATGTAACCCCTTATCAAATTTCGCAAAAATGGCCAAAAAATCGATTTCTTCCGGGCATATCTAGAAAGATTCCCCTGTTGATGCTGATCAAGAATATATATGGTTTATGGGGTCGGAAATGATTCCTTGACTTACAAAAATATTATTTTGTATTATAAAATCGGATTTTTTATATTAAAAAACTTCTTGATTTTTTTAAAATTAAAAATATCATAACTTGGCCAAAAGAGCATTAATTTTAAATCGGAAAACTGTTCTGTGCAAGATTTTCTACAGTTAATAAATCTGCATACTTCATTTAAAAATTTTTAAAATTCAATTTTTTATCAAAATCAAAAATTTTTAATGATGTAACCCCTTATAAAATTTTTCAAAAATGGTCAAAAAATCGATTTCTTCCTGACATATCTAGAAAGATTCCCCTGTTGATGCTGATCAAGAATATATATACTTTATAGGGTCGGAAACGTCTCCTTCACTGCGTTGCAAACTTTTGACTGAAATTAAAATACCCTGCAAGGGTATAAAAATGTTATCTTGCTTTATTTTATTGCTTATTTCAACCGCATATTGTCCATTTTGCTAATTAAAATGATTAAAATGACAGGTGAGATCGGTGTGGGAATGTGATGGGGAACGCGAAGGTAACCGGATCGGTCGGTGGCAGTATAATCAGAATATCGAACCGTTGCAGTTCATTGAATGAAACCGCACAAATGCCTCGCACACATTTTGTAGACATTTAAATGTAACATCTCTCAGGCATCTTAATTTATTCAACCGATGCGGGGGGAAAGGAAGGACGGGCGGAAGCAGTGGGTTGGTGACAAGCGGATGCTGCTTCCTGGACGAGTTTTTTATCCCCGAGTATTCTGAGAGCGTGCGGGGGGAATGCACCCCACTGTGCAGCTTCTTCTTCGTCGGCGTCTTCGATAATTTACAAACTGAGGTCATCTTATATATAGTATACTATGTACAAAAAAAGAAAGAAATATTAGCTCGTGATATTAATTATTAGAAATTAATACCCAACCTATAAAGCTTAATATTAGCTCGAAATTGAATTGTAAAATATTTATAAATTGCTTACTAAAATGTGATCTGATTTAAATCTTCATTCTTAAAGTTGTTTTCCATTTAAACAGCAAAAAGATACAATCTCAAAGATATTTAAATTGTTATTTTCCTATCTTTTCATCTGAAAACCTATATTTGGAATGAAATCCTCCCATTCCATCAGAGAATATGATGTATCATTCCCATTTTATGTTAATCGAATGACTCAACATTGTTATTGTTTATGGCAACAGTATTGTTTTAGCATTCAACTTTGATGGAAATGTTGCACATTGCACGCGTACGCAAGTTCGCTATATACTATACTTGTGTGGGAGGGAGGATGAACTGAAATAGAATTCGTGTGTGTTCGTATTTTGCGCATTTAGCTGGCAGTCGACAGAGCAAACATTTGAACTGATTTCATTTTTTGGACAGTTTTGTTTTAGCCCCAACTGATATTAGTGCAAATAAAGCGGCTAAACGGATGTGTCCTTGGCTTATTGTTGTTACTGTCTTTGCAACCAACTCTCTTGGCTCTTCCTCTTTGATATGGTGTTGTTGTTGTAAGTGAATGTCATTGAGGAGGAGGCAAAAGCTAAAGGGCGCACACTCAAAGAGTGAGAGCATAAGCGAGAGCTTTCTTAGACTTTTCCTCGCTCTCCCATGCTCTCGCTTTGGCTTTCTCTCCTAAGTGGCTGCTGCTACACTAAGCTACACGGGTTTTGTACTTTTTGGGGTCTATATAATTGTTTGATATATATTAAAGATGTTAAAGTATCTTTAATATTTTTAAAATATTGTTTTGAAAATATTTAAGTTTTTAATTTAAAATTGGCATTACATATTAATAGGTTTCTTAGTTCTGACTCTTTTTTTTCACAAAACTATAAACCTTAAATATAAAAAAAGGATTTAGTTATGATAATTTTGTATAAAGTAAGCTTTTGAGCTACAATATATGTACTTTAGATAAATGTATTATCTTACTCCCACATACGACTCAAAAACCCTTGCTTTGTTGCTCAGTGCTGTTCAGATGCCAATGGGGGGGCAGCGAAAAAGATTCAAGAGCAGTGCCACTCGCCGCCAACTCGCTCAATCGAAAAGCTCCACTCGCGGCGAACGGACGTGCACCGAACCAAATCCCCAGTGCTGGCGCCAATTCTATATGTGTGAATCCATCGGTGATAAATCCATAAAGTCACCCAGAGCGAAAAGTTAAAGGCATAAAGGAAAACTATTTTTGCATTTCCACTCGCGGCTTCCGTACAACGCAAAAGTCTGGCCACCAAGCTGCCCCACACACACACTGAACATTTAACTTAATATTTTTTCAACAAAAGCACCCCTGAACTATTTATAAATATTTAGCAAAAGAGGAAAAAAACAATCGAAACTATTTGCGTCAATTGAATACGAAATCGGGTTGAAGACCGCGACAAGCAAATCAAAACGGACAGTTGGAGTCAACTGTAAAACCCAAATTTCTATTTTGACTTAAAATCGATAAACAGTAATTGTGCGCGAGGGCGAACGGGGCCAACGAAGTCAAAGGAAGAAACAAAAAACAGTGCCACCCACCGCCTACAGCCCCACAACCACAACTACACAGACTAGTGTAAAAACTATGACAATGCTGGAAGGAATGACGTCGATTGACCTGGGCTCCAGTCCCATGCAAGAAACTACGGGCGACATGAACGACGTTCTGCCCGATGAGCTCATGGAGACGCCGGAGGAAAGGTAAAGAGCGCCTCCAAGCCGTGCCGCGTCGGAAGTTTATATTGAAACGTGTCAGTCACGGAGTTGGACAGGCTATCACCGCCGCCCATCTTTGGCCCCCTTCCTGTGCAGTACACAATTGGTCCTTGCCAAGGGTTAATGACGTCAGCGGTGGGCGGGGGTGCATTACAAAGGCACAACCATTCAAATCAAAGTCATAACTGTCAGGAGAATATACTGGGTTTTGTCAGGAATTATAGCGTAGGCGAACGAACTATCGACCTGGTTTCTAAATCTAGTCCCAGTGAAAGAATTTAAATTAAGCTGAGGAATTTTATCTTTTAAATAACAGTTTAAATTATTTAACAAAGATTTAAGATTTTATATCTTCAAAGTCAAAACCCTCAGTCAGCTATTTAGTTATCCAAAAGTTACACCTTTCTATATTCTTGAGAGAGCTCCTCTGAATTCCATTTATAGAATTCTGCGTCCTTTTGTTTGTGCATCCTGCAGTTTGCCCCTGACTTCTGGTTTTAACCATCCAAACCTTCATCCTATTAGGCACTGCATGAATCCCTTCCAAAAATAAAAGCCTGCCTTGTGCGGCCTTGTTTTCCCCGTACGTGCCAGTGAGCAATAACATGCAACGCGCGGCATGTGCGGCTCAGGAAATGTGATCTAATAATAATGTTATTACTTCTCCGTGGCGTTGACTGGTTTAAGTGTGAGATTTATTCTATGGATTAGCATTGCGCTTTAATATCCATTGTGTTTTTTCGCACGATAATCACATTCACGGGGGCAGCGCCCCGCCGTCACCTGCCCAATCTACCTGCATCCGTATCCGCAGTTGTATCTGTGCCTCTGTATCTCTTTGCCTGGGCAAACACAAGCAACGAGTTTAAGATGGAGATTGAGTTGGCTAAGAGGCTGCGTCACAATGCGTAACTTTTGGATACTTTTATCTCGTTCTTTATCTGGTTTCCTCTCTGCAGTCCTAAAAGGCTTATCGGTTGCTGCTACCGCAGCTAACTGCGGCACGAGGCGGCTAAACATCACATTCATAAACCCGTCCGAAAGCATTGGGCTTAATCATGGCATTAAGTCAGCTGAAAATTGACTCACATTAGTCTCAATTTAGCGGAGGCTGAGGTGTTCAATTAGCCAAGCTCGAAAGTTTGTATTCCGGCGTGTGGCTGCGAAAGTTGTTTATCACTTTAACACTTTTCGGCACCTTTAAAAGGTACAAACATATGTATATATATGTATAAATTCATTCGTTTTCCAATTTCATTAGTGAGTCATTTTGGGCAATCTGCGCATTTATCTAATTACCCGAACGAGTGCAAGTTTTTCATGCACATTTAATTGGATGACCCATTTCGTATTCCCACCCCCGTTTCCATTCTAATTTTGTACTTTTATCTAGCAAATATTTGCCTCGAATTTAGCACACTAAGCAAATAAAAAGCAAGCCAGCTAAAACATCAGCTTAGCACGCCTTTCAAATTTATAATTCGTCAGGCAGATAAACATGATGTTCAGTGTTTTTTTTTGCCAAGTGAATTCCAAGCAGCAGTCGGCCAAGGCAATTTACAGCAGCTTCTGGTCGTGACAGACACTGGGGCAGTGACACTGCCACCACCACACTGCTGTCATTAAATGCGTATATGGCCTGGAATATTGCGTGACGCCACATAATAATCGATCGAACCTCCCCTTCCCCTTCTGGCCTCTACATGTCCATTATGTTCAATGGATATAAATATAATCGTAGTACTTGAGAAGTCAGAGGCCAGGGTGTAAACAAAGCGAAAGGAATCGAAAATAGAGGCAGCCAAGCGTGTAGACCATATTGCAATCGATCTTAGGTGCCATTGTTTATTCTGCATTGGATTTCTCAGAATATTGTAGAGATTGTTTTTAATGTTTACAATTTAAACAGATAAATATTGAACCCACCTGGAAATAAATAAAATGATAAATAAGCAATAAGCCTGAACTAATGAATTAAAAAATAATGAATACAATAATTGCAATTCATTCAAAAGCTTACTGAATTATGAAGGTCTTGAAGGTGGATTCATGTTAACTGATCTAGGCTTTTGTAATTACTAATTAAATGTACAATCTCACATAAAATAAGATCTAACCTTTGATTTCTTCTCTTTTCAGATACGAACGCCTTTTGCGTCGCGCCCAAGTCGAGGACTTGACGGAGGTCTCCGGCATTGGCTGCCTTTACCAGAGCGGCGTGGATCGCCTGGGTCGGCCTGTGATTGTGTTCTGCGGCAAATGGTTCCCCGCCCAGAACATTGACCTGGAGAAGGTAATGTATCCATTAAATTTCACAACCTTAAAAACGAAATCTAAATATTATGTTGACCTGCAGGCCTTGCTATATCTGATTAAGCTACTGGATCCCATCGTTAAAGGAGACTATGTCATTTCGTACTTCCACACGCTGACGTCCACCAACAACTATCCTTCGCTGCACTGGCTGCGCGAGGTCTACAGTGTGTTGCCCTACAAGTGAGTCCTGAATACCTTAAACTCTCTCTTAGTATAACCCACTAAGCCTGATTGTTTCCATTAAAGGTACAAGAAGAACCTGAAGGCCTTCTACATAGTGCATCCCACATTCTGGACTAAAATGATGACCTGGTGGTTTACCACCTTTATGGCGCCAGCCATTAAGGCCAAAGTGCATTCGCTGCCGGGTGTGGAGCATCTGTACTCGGCCATCACAAAGGATCAGCTGGAAATTCCCGCCTACATTACCGAATACGACATGGCGGTAAGTCAGAATGGCTTTTATACAAAATATTAAAACAGATTTTATATGAATATTTGTATTCTTTACAGACCAATGGCCTGCATTACTTCAATCCTGTGCCGACTGCCTCGTAGATGGCGGCCATTGTAGCTGTCTAAAGACAGTGATCAGCCACCATAGCATATATATATATATAGATACACACACTTGTGAAGTTTTTATAGATTTTATATAGAACGTATTTTGTTTTCTTGATAAGTAATATTTGTTTACTTGCGCATAACTTTCGATGTTGTCGTTTATCGATTGACTTGCCGCAAGTTTTGTTGAACATTGTGTAGCATACTTTTATGGGAGTGGCAGAGTCGCCCGATCCCCCCCACACAACAAAAACAAAAAAAAACCAAAACCAATTAGCTAAAAGATTAAAATCGGCATCCCAAAAGCAAAAACCAAAACCAGATAATTGTGTAAAACATTCTTATGAAGTGCATGGAAATTAGTTAATTAGTTGGCATTGGCAATTGATTGAACAACCAAAAACCCTTGTTAATTCGCTACAAAAAGAAACTAGATGTTGAATTATTGGTAGGTGACAGACCAGAGGGTATGGGGGTAAGGATACCAAAAGGAAACCAAAAAAAAAATAACGTTGGCAATGCTGAACAAAATGAAATTTGATTAGAGAACCTGCATATACCGATATATATACAAGATTATTCTAAATATCAAAATTGATAAATTGTACTTGATTAAACGGAAAGGAAACAAAACTACATGATTAAGTATACATATTGTTAGTTATCTTTGCAATTACAAATTGTATTATTAATGTATTAATACTAGAGCTAAAGCGTATGCAGTTTGATCCCCCGATATATACACACATACGTACTATAATTCAATTGTATTTATACATAACTATATATACTAAATATACACCACTAATAAATTAAAACCAAACAAACAAAAACCAAACGCTCGGAGCTGAAGCATATAGCATATATATTTTGAAGCTCAGGCGAAGGATATGTAAATGAGTGCAGCACGGAGCCTGCCGAAACCTTTTGTAGATACTTACTAGAGCTCACCGTAAGGCCCCTCCCAGGAATCGAAACACCAATAAAGAACCTAACGAATAATGAGTAATGAATAATGAATACCGAGTACTGTATGTTAAATGTTCAACTTTGATATGAGAGTATGTTTGAGGCACTGGAGATTTCGAACTCGAGACACACGTCCCCTTTATCTTCCATGCACCGTTTGCGCTCAAAAGAAACCCAGAATCAAAGCCAATAGCACGCCACTGCTATACACAATATATATGTATATATATATATTTGTAATTGTGAGATACACATATATACATATGTAGGTAATTAGTCGAATCAATTATGGCACTCGCAGCAATCGGCAGCAGCAATCAGAATCAGAGACACACTCAAACCAGAAGCCAGAAGCCGCCAAACAGCCACAGCAAACACCAGCAGTTGATTTTTAGCAACTACGCAATTACATGCAAAGTAAAATGCACTCAGGGATTGATTTAAAACCAAAAAACAAAAGAAAACCAAAAAGTAAATCCAAAACGAAACAAATTTAGATAACATTAATGCGCTTTCCTCGAGAACCACAATCGGCAGCCTGGCTAGTACCTAAAAATGAGAAATCAAGTAGAGAGAAGATAGTTTTTGGAAACGTTCTTATAAGTACATACATACGTTCATCCGAGGATGTGTCCTCGCCTATACAATTATATGCCAATTACATATATTTTGTATTGCCTCACCAAAAGAATTTAGGTAAAAATTAATCAGATTGCGATGGGGGGTAGCTAAAGAATCACAGCAATTACTACTCAAAACTAGCCTGCAAGTACAGTCTACTCAAAAGTTATGCTTGTATGAGAACCACCTTACAGGAGTACAACAATCGAGATATACCTACATAAATACATATATCTATGGCGCTTACTCTCTCAACTGTTATTGAAAAAATAAAAAAAGATTAATAATAATACAAAGCAGAGAACAAACCCAAAGTCGAGACCCCATGTTATGCCAAGTGTTCCTTTCTAAAAGTATATATTTAGACGAATACTTTTCGTAATATTTGAATATTTGTAGATAAATCTAAAGTCGATCGATTGAATAATGAAGCCAACAACTACAAGTAACTAGTAATCTCTCTCATTGAATCTAAATATTTCCCAAATTTTCCCTTCTAATATTGCTATTGCTTTAGCGTTAAAAACAAACAAAAATAAATTCACAAAACAAAACTAAACTAAAAGAAAGCTAATAAAAAATTGAATGAAAATGGAGGATGATGATGATGATTTGTTGCGAAATTAATGAAATTGTACCTTTGAAAGGAATTCTGCGATTGATTCTTTCCTAGCGTAGCACAAATTCCTTATAGTTGTTAAATCGGAATCGAGATTCGAGAGAATCGTGGCACAAAATGCGAAATTAAGTTAAGTTTTTCCAAAAATTCGAGAATCCAAGCTCCTTGTTCTTTTTGTATATATAAGTACATACAAGGTAACAAATTTAATTGGTAATTAATAAAAGAAAAACAACTAAAAACATGCGCTTTCGTTAAAAATAATCTCCCATCTGTGTCCTGTATTGCTCTTTTAGGATATTCCTTAAAACTCTATTGAAAATCACAATGTACAGCTGATATCCGAGGTAACATATTATTCCCAGTTACTGAATAATCAACTTTTTCTGCTTGGCGTTCGGTATGTACTTGTCCCTGTACTCCTCGAACATCTTCTCCAGCGCCTTCATCACCTCGCCATGTATTTGGTCCACGTAGGCGGCATCGGGTTGATCGCTCTTCACCACGTCAATGGGGGAGCCAACTGGAATGTTTTATATTTTTATTAGAATTTTATATTTAAAGGTAAAATAAATTCCATTTAAAACTCACCAACTTGCACGATCCGCCTGCGGTGGGGCAGTATACCAAAGGAGTAATTAAACATGCCGCGACCCTTGGGCAGCAATGGGGAAATGCCAGTGAATTTCTTGAACACATTTTGGAAGCGACGTAGCAGGGACTCTGGAGGATTGGCCACCTGATCGTATATATCCACCTCGCCAAAGGAAAACGTGGGCACTATCGATGACCTACAAACAACGTTATATAAATACCAGTTTATATATATTTTTTTTTGATTATAACTCACCCTGTTCGAATGGCCATCTTAACAAATCCCTTGCGGTTTTTCAGGGTCAAAATATACTGTCCAGGATACGAATCCATGGCCTCTTGGGCCCCACCCACCAGAATGGCCACCGCATTGGAGGTAAAACCATCCTGATTATCTTCATGCTTGGGATCATTTGACTTGCTGAGCAAGTAAACCAGAGACTCCTTGGAAACTGATACCATGCCCCAACAGCGAACGATTTCACGCAGGATTGGGGTCTTGAAATGATGATCCAGTGTGGCAGCTTTAGGACGGACTTTTGGGAACAAATCCAGCCACTTTGCAATATCCATGCACATATTAACACAGATTCCAGTTCTTAAAAATTAATTTATATATTATAGGTTTTCGTTCTTGAATTTCCCAAATGCTTACCCAAGAATTCCGTGAGGAAAACAAGCCAGAATATAATTCTTGTTTGCCGGCAACTCAGCTGTCTTTACAAGTTCTACTGGAAAGTAGTCACGATATTTAGGATTACTGCGAAAAAAAGACCAGCTAGGGGAAAATTGATTGCGACATTATCTTTAAAGTTAAGTGGGCTATTAAATGTATAGTATTTACCCATTGCCATCAATAGTGCCGTAGTTTTTCTTGTAATCCTTATAGATTATCACAAAATAAACCATAAGTAAACTGCGTAAAATGAGACCTCCATAGTACTAAAAATATAAAAGAATATTTTATGAAAATAATATTTTTCTAAGTCAAGGAATCATTTCCGACCCCAGAAACCATATATATTCTTGATCAGCATCAACAGGGGAATCTTTCTAGACATGCCCGGAAGAAATCGATTTTTTGGCCATTTTTGCGAAATGTGATAAGGGGTTACATCATTAAAATTAGCAAACATGGCCAAAAATTTTGATTTCCTAAAATTTTAAATTTGGTATGCAGTTTTTTTAAATTAATAAAAACTAACACAAAACTGCTTTCCGAATCGAAATTAATGCATTTTTGGCTTAGTTATGATATATTTTTGGCTGGCCAAAGTTAGCTTTCTTTCTTGTTTTCACTTAATTTTGTTATTTTAAACTCAAGAGTTCACATCTATTTTTTTAAAGAAGTTCATGTTCAACATAACACGTTTATTTTTAAGGATTACCAGCAGGAGGCCTGTCATGATCCACGATAGAAGCGGCATGGAGATAATTGTGTAGGTAAAGCAAGCCGTGACCAAGGTTTGGAGCCGCCGCGACAGCGGAACTCGGAGGGGAGCCCACTCGATTTTCATGTTGAAATCTTGAGACCGATCTTCGGACACAAAGTAGCTACTCTGGCAACGTCTTTCCAGCGACTGAGCGATCGCATAGCAGCAACAAGCGATTTCCAGTCTGTAAAAGCAGTACTTATCCTTATCAACGCGGCGACCCGCGCCTCTTCTTCAGGGCGTGATGGAGGACCTCACTCCAAGCGGCGATAAGCCACAGATAAAATGTCTAAGCCAGGCACTAGACATTGGGCAAATACAATGTTCAGTAAGATTACGTCACTCAATGCAGATGTACAATGTCTGGACAAGAGCCTGCCATACAGATTTATATGCAGAAATTATAGTTAAATCAATAGGCCATATCAGTGCGATAAGGTACGTCTAATAGTTCGATTTGTGATAATAGCGATCATAACAGGTGGTAAACGATCGCCAAACGCTGAATCATATCTCGGGTTCAGGTTATATGGGTCTTGGGTACGATTCCCATGTTTACTGTCGTATCACAAAAAATTCTTGACCTTTAGAACATTTTTTTTTTTATGTCACACATGTTGGGGCTGGTTCGCAACAGCCGAAATTGAATTTTCTTCTTTTTTGATAAGAGTTTTGGTTTGATTTTATATATATACTTTAGTTGTATTTTTACTATGGATTTGTGTCGTTGCTCTTATCAGGCGGCCAGTGTCTCATTGAACAAGTGCTGACTCATGACGACGCTATTACAATGAATTGTAAATAAAGTGATGTAATTGTTATAAGAACATTGACATTACTTACTGTGTTATTGCTTAAATTTATATGCTTAACTTAAAGTGGCTCTATTTTTAGTGATTTTAAATGTTAATATTCTCATAAACCACAAAAGGAGACGTTATCTCGCTTTATGAGGTGCAGCAACTCTGTTGTCATTTAATATTGAACTAAACAATTGAATTGATAAGGTCAGAATATTATGGGGTTCTATATAGGCTATTAACGGTTCAAGTTCTAAAGTAATTACCGGAATTTAAGGATCAATTAAATAAGGATTTAATGAAAAGCTTTTAACCCCTATTAAATAAAAATAAACATCAAATTCCATATAAATTTTTAATTATTTATAATATTGCTTTTTCGTTTATGTTTAGCTCACATCAAAACTGCAGCTGATGTAGTTAAACCAAAATAACATTCCAATGTCTTAAAACTAAATCTCGTTAAAACACAATTTCATAATCTCATTCACAATATTGCTAATTATTTTTCCAGTTACTGTACAACCAGCTTGGCATTTTCAGAGTTCTTCAAATATTTATGTTTATATTGCTCGAATAACTTCTCCAGAGCCTCGATGACCTGCGAATGAATCTTATCCACATACTCAGGATCGGGTTGATCACTCTTCACCACATCAATGGGAGAACCAACTGCAGAAAACAAAAGAAAATTTCATTAAGTAAAATAATTTAAAACCAGAAATATCAATTTCAAAATATAAATTTCAAATTATTTAAATCTTTTTAGAAAAAAATAATATATAAATAATCTATTTAGGGTCTGAATTGACTCCTTTACTGCGTTGAAAACTTCTGACTATATCTATCTATCTATAATATTATAGGGTTACTTACCAACTTGAACAATTCGTCGACGGAATGGCAAAAAGCCAAAAGTATAATTGAAGAATCCACGTCCCACAGGAATCAAAGGAGAAACGCCGGTGATTTTCTTAACAACATTCTGAAAGCGGCGGAGTAGGGAATCCGGAGGATTGGCCACCTGATCAAAAATGTCCACCTCGCCAAAGGAAAACGAGGGCACAATCGAAGATCTGTAGAAAAACAACACATTAGAGATCTCTCTTGTAAGTTTTACTATTCAATCACTCACCCCGTTCGAATGGCCATCTTGACGAAACCCTTGCGGCTCTTCACGGTCAAAATGTACTGGCCGGGATGCGAGTCCATGGCCTCCTGGGCTCCACCCACCAAAATAGCCACTGCATTGGAGGTGAAGCCATCACGATTCTCTTTGTGATTTGGATCATTCGACTTGCTTAGCATGCGGATCAGAGCCTCCTTGGAGACTGACACCAATCCCCAGCATCGTATGACTTCCCGCATAAAGGGAACATGAAAGTGCTGATCTAAAGTACCAAGCTTTGGTCGAACCTGAGGGAACAGCTCCAGCCATTTGGAGATCTCCAAACCCATGTTGATACCAATGCCCGTTCTACAAGTCAAATCAGTGTCTATTTATATTAAAAAACGATAAGATTGGCTATCTGTCAATGTACTTACCCCAAAATGCCATGGGGAAAGCTGGCCAAGATGTAGTTCTTGTTGGGGGGAAGTTCGGCTGTCTTAACCAGCTCCACGGGAAAGTAGTCGCGATAATAGCGATGGTAGCGATTGGTACGGGTTATCAGCCAGCTAAGTCATATAGGGTTATTACCATGGATTTTTCCTTTTGAATAGCAATACTACTTACCCATTATTATCCACAACGGATTGGGTGTTCTTGTGATGCACATAAACGTAAACCAAGTAGATCAACATAAGACTGCGCAGCAAGAGACCTCCATAGATCTATACAACATAAAGTTTATCTTTACCATGTCTTTATAATGATTATTAAACAAGTTACCAGCGATCCAGCTACCAAGAGGAAGGAAACTGATAGCAGAATTGGCAGCATGGAGGTAAAGAATGCCGTAACCATTATCTGCAGACGACGCTCCAGGGGAACCCGAAGTGGTGCCCATTCGATCTTCATGTTTATTCCTCAACTAAATACCAAGAGTCCAAATATTCCAGTAGCTGCTCTTTCGGCGGTTCACCCACGACTGAATGATATGCGAGCCAACGAGCAACGGTCAGTTTTGCCCTGCATTAAACTTATACTTATCCTTATCGCTCTGGGGTCCGATGGCGGGCGCCCGCATTAGGGGCTAATCGTTTGCCACCTAACCAGTTAGTAGTTGTTCTTCGTTTTGGGTCTGATGGGAATGCGCGATTAGAGTGATAAAGATGATAAAGGTTGGCCCATAATCGGCGGCGGGCAATCACGATCGCGGGTGCAAAGGTATGCAGCGGCTACTAAATTATTGCACCTGACGACTGTAAGAGCAAAAGGGTGATTCAATTATGCTCGACTCGGTTCGTAGTTCTTCTGACTAACTACATATAAGAGTTTAGTTTGTTGATAAGAAAATGTAGTTATTTTTAATCCAATGGCAACTGCGAGTGATTAGTAGTTTCTCGATGATGAAATGATTGGCCAAGCTATGGTAATTGCATGTACAGAGTCCAATATTTGTACAACAGGTTATAGTTTTTATAACGCACTAATTAAGCTGATGCGGAAAATTATAAATAAAAATTCTAATATTTACATTAGATTTTACTTTATTTTATTTTAAAACTTATATTTCATATTTAAACAATTTCCGCATATTTTGTTTAAAAACCGATTTTGTATTACGTTTACCAGCACTGCACACGATCGGTCTTATCGATATAAAGTTATTTTCCATTAATCGATTGATCGATTTAACCTTATTTAAAATTGAAATCTCTACTCACCGTTATCAAAAGCTTCACCCAAAGAATCAATAAAACAAACAAAAGCATCAGACTTTTTAAGATTATAAAACTTGTTTCTAATAAATGCTTATAAAGCATTACTTTGATCACATTTTCTATAAAACAAAATAACAGGAAACTTTAGGGTGACTAGTGAATTATCAGCTTGCTCTGTTTGGAATTGGGAATATATTCATCCTTGTACTTTTCAAACATCTTTTCCAGGGCCTCAATGACCTGCTTATGAATTTTGTCCACATAAGCAGCATCCGGCTGATCACTTTGTACCACATCGATGGGAGAGCCAACTGAAAAGAGTTAGTTAAGTAAAAGGTTAACCAAATAATTCCGTAAAAGACTCACCAACTTGGACGATGCGGCGTCGATTGGGCAGGAAACCAAAGGTGTAGTTAAACACACCACGACCCTTGGGAATTAACGGGGAAATGCCTGTGAATCTCTTCACAAAATCTTGGAAACGGCGAATTGGGGAGTTCGGGGGATTGGCCACCTGATCCAAAATGTCCACCTCGCCAAAGGAAAAGGTGGGCACAATCGAGGACCTATAAAAGTAAGAATCATATATAAATATTGGCCAGGTTAATTCACGCCATTACTTACCCCGTTCGAATGGCCATCTTGACGAATCCCTTGCGATTCTTCAGGGTCAAAATGTATTTGCCAGGATGCGAGTCCAGGGCCTCCTGAGCTCCGCCCACCAGTATGGCCACAGCATTGGAGGTGAAGCCATCTCGATTGTCCTTGTGCTTGGGATCATTCGATTTGGTCAGCAGATAGACCAAAGCCTCCTTGGAAACCGAGACCAAGCCCCAGGATCGCAGCAGACCACGCACAATGGGCGTCAGGAAGTTCTGATCCAGAGTGGCCACCTTTGGTCTGACCTGCGGAAACAGCTCCAGCCACTTGGAGATGTCTAGACCCATGTTGATGGAAATGCCAGTCCTATCGCGGGTTTCAATATTTACATAAAATTTCGTCATCGATAAGATTGGCTATCAGTCAACAAGCTTACCCCAGAATTCCATGGGGAAAGCTGGCCATGATATAGTTTTTGTTCGGGGGCAACTCGGCTGTTTTAACCAGCTGCACGGGAAAGTAGTCCCGATAGTGTCGAAACAGCCAGTTATTGCGGTTAATCTTCCAGCTGAAGGGTATTATTTTAATTGGTTTTATTGGGCTTCCATTGGAATTACTTAATGCTCACCCATTGCCGTCCATAATGGAGTGGGTTCTGCTGTGATTCACATAGACGTAGACCAAGTAGATTAGCACTACGCTGCGAATTATGAGGCCACCATAGATCTGCAAAGATTCCAGTCAACATTATACATTTTAAATATCTTAAAAATAGGGTTTTTTAACTCACGAGCAGGGCAGCACACAGTATGTAGGATCCGAAGGATAGGATCATAAAGGAAACAATGAAAAAGGCCATGGCAAACGTCTGGCGACGCCGCTCCATGGGAACTTCTCTGGGTGCCCACTCGATTTTCATAATGCCTGCTTTCCAATTATAAGGTAGCGACTCTTAGCACGGTCCTCCAGCGACTGAAAATTGTTTTAATGTTTTAATGTTTAGTACTCATTTCTTATCCTTATCGGTGTACGTCGATGGCGCGGGTACGCGGCTATCGGTAACAGTTGTTAAAAAAAAATACCACCGATTTAATAGTTATTTGCTTGGGGCGTTTAAAAATTCTGGCAATCAAGATAATGATTTGCTTTTAATAGAGGTCTGGCTGCAATTGCGATATAGTCTTATCATTCTTAACAGCCGACAGTTGAAGCAGTTTAAATGAAGCACACTTTCTGTTTATATAATACATAGTACATTATTAATTACACGCCATTTGGTTTTATAATCTCAAACTCTCATTTAAATGTCATTATTGCTGGATAATAATTACATGGAGTAAGCTTTTATTGATAAATAATTAGCTTTACCCTGGATCTCTTTAATTATTTGTTTAGTTTAGGAGAAATTATAACTATATATTGACCTCCAAAGCTCTGTCATAGAAGACTCGCCCAGTTGAATTTATTTTTGTTTGGAACAGAGCACGCTGCTCAAATGTTTACACACGTAATGGATCGTTATCGCATTTTGAGAGCAGAACCGACGCCGCGAGCGTGCAATATTTAACTAAATAACCGAACGAACGCGCTCGTCGAGAAGCCGGAGCGTAATGCACGAGATTCCCCTATAGAAGGCATTACTCGATTGCCATGCAACAACTGACTCACAGACGTAATTGCGGCTTCTAGGCGATATAAAGTGAATCAGGGGCAACTGGGGTCAGAGGCAAGACCTGTTCCTAACTAGAAATGCAACTATTCTAATTCGAAACTGAGCCGAGGAAAGCGGGTGTAATTAAATTCTTCTAATTAGCGTATTCAGTAACTATGTTGTAGGCAGACCCAGCAAATGGCTCTGCTATTTACATATATTCAAAAGTTGGCGCTAAGTCTACGAGCTGCGATTTAATTCTGGTACTGATCAACACTGTAGTAGAGGTGGAAAAACATAGGAATATATATGACTTATGGGGATTCAATTTAATGGATATTTATGAAAATTTTCTTGACAAATCAAAGTATAAAAAATAACAAAAACTTTGTCAAAAAAGCATTAATTTCAATTCGGAAAGATTTTATGTGTAAGTTTTTATTAGGTTAATAAATCTGTAAACCAAATAAGCATTTTTTAAATATTAAATTTTGTAGCAAATTTTTGTCAATTTTAATGATGTAACCCCTTTCATTTTTTTGAAAAATTGATTAAAATTAAAAAAATTTTTTTTTTCTAAATTTTTTAATTAATAAATTAAGATTTTTTAACGAAATCGGAATATATATGATTTTTTGAAATCACTTGCTTTTGGGTCTTCTTATGGCCTCAAGAAGACCTGAATTTTAAGATCGAAGTAAAATAAGTAAGTAAAATACGATCGTATTTTATTTTCAAGGGTTTCTTGGTTTATTTTCATATATACTTTAAGGTTTCAATATTAACTTTAAAATCTTTGGAAATTAGCATCTGCGAAACTAGAATACTTATAATTTTTTTAAACATTTATCAAGCACCAGGACATGGTGGAAGTGTGCTCATTTTCCCTGTTTTTTCTCCACTTCGATCTTAAAATTCAGGTCTTCTTGAGGCCATAAGAAGACCCAAAAGCAAGTGATTTCAAAAAATCATATATATTCCGATTTCGGAATATATCGATACAATTATTTTATATAATTGAGATATTATTTATCATATATGTAGTATTTCCAATAAATTTCGAAATCCTCCTTGGCGCTACGATGACGAAGTGCCGATTTTTGCATTTCAAATGACCCCTAGTCCAATCCACTCCATTGCATGGAAGGGAAGACCCCCGTCGAAGAAGTGAAAAACAAAACAAAACAAAATAGCACAAAATATATTCAGCAAGTCCACCGTTTTTCTTCCATTCCTTTTCCATCGGTTTCCTCTGTCACATTTTGGGTCGCAGTTTGTCCAGATAAACCGAGAGCAGCGGTTGTTATTGATCTACTGATCTTGCTTCTGGTCTTTAAGATTTTACTAAATTTAATTAAAACAAAATAGTGAAAAGTGCAAATAATTAAGAGTATCAAAGTGCATGGCAAAAGTGCAATAAACCGAAAGCAAGCTTGAAAAGAAAAACAAATATTTTGCATGCAAATACTAACAAAAGAAAGAAAATAATTTGGGAAAGAAATAAAGAAAATGCTTATTTTCTATGGCAAATATGCATTTCTCTTCTGGTTCTTCCTGGGCACCAATAAAGGTGAAGTGCTCCTAATGCAGCAAATCTTCCATGACAATACCCTGCTCAATGTGACTGCCTGTACACAGAATTGTCTGGAAATGGGCAACCAGGTAGGAGGAGCTTCATGAGGCAGTGCCGACCGTTTGGCTTGGTTCTGGTTGGATTTTAAATACTTCTTTTCTTAAACGGAATGGAATTTTAATTTTAAAATATTTTCAAAAGAGGAAAATAGTAGTTGCTGCGAGGAAAACGTATTGACTACAAACCTCAATTTATTTCCAAATATCTCCTTTTACTGCAGGACTTCCGAGGCTGTTACAAAGATTGCAAATCAAATGGAACTGCTCCTGGGCCTCTACGCAAAGTACAGGAAAACTTTCAACTGCACATGCTGTGTCGCACAGAGTCGCAGATAGTTTTTCATATAGATTGGGTCCAGCATAGCGGGGGAAACGAGACAGCCCCAAATTCCACCTACATTATCAAGGTGGCCAGAGAGAAAATTACAGAGACAAAACTTTATTTGGTAAGCAAATACTTAAGGAACTAAAGACTACTGACTGAATTTTAAAATATCTTTTAGTCTGACGAGAACTTCATTATACTGTCCCACTTGGAGTCAAACTCCAGCCACAATATAACCGCTCTGGCGGTGCATGGAGATGGTAGCTACTCCTTGATAGCCCGAGATCAAAGCTTTCTAACCCTGCAACGTGGCTACCAGCCCAGCAAAATGGGAGCTGTAAGCCTGCGAGGATTTGTGCCGCAGAAGAATGAGACCCATCGCATAGCCGCTGAGATTGAATGGCAGCCTTCAGCGGGTAAGGAAGAGCGAAGATTCCTAGTCATTTGTATTATTTAATTATTATAATTATTATAAATATTCCAGAGCGCAATTGCTACTTTGATATGGTGTCCTACTCCACCAACAGCGTGAATATGGATGAACCACGGCAGGTGGAGTTCCGAGATGTGAGTCTAATCTTAACTCCCATATCATGGATACTAACAAACCCAATCCTTTAGCTTCGAAAGCTATACAGGCACACGGTGGACAACATGGAATTCGACAAAACCTATCTAGTGGGCGTGAGAACAGTGAATATATTAAACCGACTGGAGAGCGAAGTGGAGTGGCTTACAGTTCAGGCGCCCAGTTGTTTGGATTGGTATCCCCTTAACTACACACTTTGCGGTGAGTCCTTTAACGATTTATATAATACGATTTATAATATGAAATCCTTTAATAGCTCCTCACAAGCCTGAAAATCTAAGCGTCCTGCAAGAGCAGTATGAACGAAATACATTGGCCTTGAATATCAGCTGGTCGCAACCCAATCTTCTGCCAGACAACTACTCACTTCGCATCTTTGATCTGTACCTGGGCAGCAAGGAGGTGAACTTCACCCTGGACAAGAGCACAAGCCACTTCTTTATACCCCGGATCACTGTCCTGGGCTCCCACTTCGAGGTGCATTTGGGGGCTCTGTCAAAGGGCGGCAAGAATTTCAGCGTTCTGACCCTGGACAAGGCGCCAAGGGATGCCTGGTTGAGTGGTGGGTACGAAGGATAAATCTATATCTATAATTACTTTAATTCTCTTTCCTGAACAGAGGGCAACCTGATTAAGCTGATACTCTTCATCATTGTGCCCATCTGCTGTATTTTGATGCTGTGCTTCCTGACCTTTTGCAGACGGAATCGGTCGGACTGCCAGCCCTTTGAAATGGAGGCCAAGGAGGCAAAGGCAAGTGATTTCCACCTCTCGTTGATGGATAGTAGTGGTCTGTTGGTGAGCTTGTCTGCCAACGAGAGCATGGACTTTGCGGATGAACTGGAGGTGGAGCCGCGATCGGTTCTTTTACAGGATGTTTTGGGCGAGGGCGCCTTTGGTTTGGTGCGACGAGGAGTCTACAAGAAGCGACAAGTGGCTGTAAAATTACTTAAAGGTAAGTAGTTATATCTCTAGAATATAAATAATATTATAACAATTTTCCAGATGAACCCAATGAGGAGGACGTGTACGCCTTCAAGTGCGAGATTCAGATGCTTAAGGCGGTGGGCAAGCATCCGAATATTGTGGGCATCGTGGGCTACTCCACACGCTGCAGCAACCGTATGATGTTGCTCATCGAATACTGCAGCCTGGGCAGCCTTCAGAACTTCCTAAGGTAAACAATACTATTTAAAATTAAAAGGAATATTTTATAATTAATCCTCTATTACTTAGAGAGGAGTGGAAGTTCCGACAAGAGCGTTGCGTAGTTGGTCTTAAACACAATCTGGAGCAGAATGTGGACAAGCGGCGATTTCAGCGACCCAGTCGGCTTTCTATCCATGATCGCATAGAAGACATCAACGGCTCCATGTTATCGACTGTGGAGGAGGAAAGTGAGGCTGATCAGACACACAACAGCAGCCGAGTGGAGACCTACACACTCACACGAATCACAAATGCAGCAGATAATAAAGGCTACGGACTGGAGGACATTGAGAATGTTGGTACCAATCATAGCCAGAAAGTTGTAAACGCTGCCAAGAATGAGTGCAAATTAGAGCAATGTCCGGGGACCAAGGAGAAGTCGAGTGTAAAGACAAAGCTGGAGTCAAAGTTAGAAAGCAAAAGTCGAACCTTTGAGAACAAGGAATACTTTGATTCTCTTAACTTCGAAGAGACAAAACCCAGAGTTCCACTGAAATATGCGGATTTACTGGACATTGCCCAGCAAGTTGCAGTGGGAATGGTATGTTAATAGTAGTCTTTAAAACCAATACAAAGTGCAATATCTCATCCACTTTATCCAGGAGTTTTTGGCCCAAAATAAGGTGGTGCATCGGGATTTGGCAGCCCGTAATGTGCTGATCTCCCTAGATCGCAGCATTAAAATTGCAGACTTTGGGTAGGTGTTCCTGTGTATCTCAATGAACCATATTCTTTAATCTTCTTTCTTGTATAGACTGAGTCGCGATGTCTACCATGAGAATGTCTACCGCAAATCCGGAGGCAGTGGCAAGCTGCCCATCAAGTGGCTGGCACTGGAGTCCCTCACCCACCAGGTGTACACTAGCCAGAGTGATGTGTAAGTGTTGCCAAGGGATTATTCTCTGCTCAAAACTGTGACTATAATTTCCCCCCTCAGCTGGTCTTTTGGCGTCTTGCTTTACGAGATCACCACGCTCGGCGGGATGCCCTATCCATCGGTGTCGCCCAGCGATCTGCTGCAATTACTGCGGCAGGGTCACAGGATGAAGCGTCCTGAGGGATGCACCAATGAAATGTGAGTAAACAATCAGTAACTTAGTGGGTATTATCCATCTCATATATTCAATTCTATTCTCTCTCCCATACCTTTAAGGTTCGCTTTGATGGAAAGCTGCTGGTGCTCCGTTCCCTCACACAGACCGACCTTCACCGGACTCAAGGATAAACTGGGTGCCATGATCGCGGCCACCAACGATATGCCCCAGAGGCTACAGCAACTGCAAGCCAAATTGGAGTCCTGGTGAGTTTAATGCTTAATGGAGTGAGCTCCTACGATAACTCTTCCGTATTCTTAGTAAAGTGAAGCAGCTGTCCTCCGAGGAAGAGCCGTACTTGGAGCCTCTGCAATGAGGTCCTCGCCCTGAAGAACATCCTAAGTGCAATACAAGATAGTTATGTAGAAAATTATTGGACAAAAGATATCCTAGAAATCAAATTACAAATTAGACAACCAACGCTGACAAGCAGCTACATAAAGTTTGCTAGAAAATAAAGAGTAATGTTAGTTTTAAGTAAATAAGTCAGAATTTCAATTAATTTTTGGGAAGAATTTGAGAATCCCAGCTGGAAGAGAGACCCCCAGGCCCAGGTTGAATGCCTTAGCTATGGCTGTGCTGTTTGTGTCATCGTTTTTGAGGACAGCTGCTCTTTGAAATCATCTTTTTTTTTAGCAACAACAAGTAGACGTTGCAAGATGTATGTACCCACCATCGAAGGTGTAGCTCTCTCCATTGAAAATTCAAAATTTAAAGTCGTCTCAGCTGCTCTAAGTGCTCCCCATGTGCATCCACTGCTGCCGCCTTCGCAAGACACCATGTCCCACGATCCCCTACAGCTGTCCCCATTGCCCGGTGAACACCATTTCCAGCAGCTGTCGTCTGAGCGATCCTCGATCCTTCGGCGAGAATCCCTTTCCAATAGGAAGGATTTCAAACCCGCCGTCTGATCCGTGTCACTCCTTGCCACCGCGCTGGCTGGAGGTTAATCGCCGGGTAATCTACGCACTCGCTAAGAGAATGGGTCGATCACCGGAAGCAGCTCATTACGCAGTGCTACTTTTGCTGTATGCCAACTATGGTAAAGTTTTGAGGATAGCTCAAAAACGCCGATCTTTCCCGGTACCCCGGTGTGGCTTCCCCGAGCAGGATTTCTTTTGTACCGGAGGATCCCTTTTCAACGACTCTGGCTTCCTCACCGATCCCATGGCCCCGGACACTCTTGCCAAACTACTTCGTATGCTGCAGGACTATATCTCGAGGTTGAGGGAGCTGAACAAGAAGTTCAAATGGTACGCAAATGGCGAGGATCGAGACGAGATACTCTGTCTGTTGGGGGAACAAGATGAACTAGTGCGCCTGCTGAGGGCAATCTTTGGGAACAAGGATGTGGTGCCCATTCCGCAACTCCTTCGGGCTCTCTGCGACCTGGATTTCAACTATTTAACGTCTGGCAAGTTGACGTCAAAAAAGTCGCCATGGCGGGTAAAACACATATCCGATCTTTACTCGGAGGTGGTGGACCCCTACAAATCTAAGAAATGTTCTTCAGGCGACAGTAGAGCTTTCCCAAATCGAATCCAAGAGGTAACAATACAAACTGTGATTTCTCCCAAAAAACCCCAGTGCCCGTGTGGTGCACGGACTGTCCAGGTTCGAGTGCGGTCCCAAAGAGACAATAAACAGCAGCTGCCTAGTAAACCATCCTTTGCCTACTTGAAGGCCGAGCCTTTTGACTCAAGCAAGAAATCCACGGATGCCCCGAAGGCCAAGCATCGACACCACAGAAAAAAGCAGATGGTAAGGAAGAGCTCCAAAGGTGGCGGCAAAATCCAGCAGCTAACACAAGAGCCCTTGTTCAGCAAACTGTATCCTTCCATCCCGGTGTTGGAGATGCCGAAGCTCCTTTACGAGCCTTATGACTCCAGGAAGAGCTCCACTTGGCGCACCCGCTACTCGAACTCCGAGCGAATGCTCCCGGATGGCCGGATTTCCAAGCGTCGAGTGGAGCGCTACATGCATCCGAATAAGCAGCGGGAGCTAAGTGAACTGCAAAAGAAGCAATCCACTCAAAACGAAAAAGAGTATGAGGATATGTTTGGCACCGATTTGAGAAGGAGAAGCATGCGAAAGAGTGACAAAAGGAAATCGTCAACCAGCAGAAAGCCAGGTGATGGTTATGCCAACTGATCCAACCTTGCAGAAGCTTGGAACGGTTGACTAGCCATTGGTGGCTCTCTGGGGGTGCCCATAAAATGTTCGTGTGGTTTTAGTATTTGAGGAATTGTTACACAAAAATATAATTGTTTTTATTAAGAAACCGTTGGTGAGTCAATTAAAGCCCATTATTTTTTTACTGTGTTTACTGTGGCTTCATTCCCGGAAATTTAAGCTGTGAATAAGCACTTATTAAGCGTTAAAACTGTCACCTCTAAAGCACTAAGTTCAACCCGAACCCCAAGTGTACAATTAGTCATTTACCAGACAAAGCCAGACGTTCAAGAAAATCAGAGATTGTGATAATAAAACCAGCAAATAAACAAGTTCAAACGGTGGGTTTTCCATTATGTGCCATATTTTCCCCATTGAAGTTTGCTAATATCTTTAAAGCTATCTCTAAGATTGGTATTGCAAATCGAAACCCCAGTTTATCGTACAAAGGTTTACCTTTATGCACAGTATATACATAGGGATTTTAAACATAAGTGTAGATCTTAAGGTGGGTCTCCTCCACCTGAATTATTCATTCATCTTTGGACTGCATGCGGCTTGCTAGACGTAAGGACTCGCTGAATCCTTAAGCTTCCCTGCTAGTTACGGTTATAGCCCAGACCGAGTATATTACGCGCCTGAAAGTAATAGAAAAGTTAAGGCAAGATGATACATTACTCTAATTACTGATTTAGCGAGTCTTACCGTTATGAACGCCGAGTTGAAGGAACGCTGGAACGTGTGCGTCATGCCCTCCGTTTGCGAGAGCATCATCTGCAGCTGTACAGCCTCGTCCATGCGGTTCTTAAGGAACTCCCAGGTCTGGGCATTTCCTGGTGAGGTATCCTGCAGGAAGTACAGCTCAGTCATCTTCATGATGGTGGCCAAACCCACTCGTCTGGTGTACCAACCAAACTGAAACATTTTCATGTTAAAAAGGTTTACTTTCTAAGAGTAAAAAGGATAACTCACATCAACGGATCGATCCCCGGAATAGTAACATATGTCATCCACCAGGGTCAGCACCTGGGCCAGAGCTGTGGGCGCATTTTGCGGCTGCGCTATCAAACCCATCGCCTGCGGCCACTGCGCCTTATAGGGGGCAACCATCTCCAGACGCTGGCGTACCGCCTGCACCAGAAAGTCCAGAGGATTCTCCACCTCCAGCTTACCACTATCTGTCTTTTGCTCCAGGCTTGCAACCAGCTGGGCATTACACTTGCCGTTGAAGTGGGAGACCAGGGCAAAGCCGCCTTCGGGGAACATGCCGTGAATCACGCTGGGATAGCCACTGTCCTCGGCGCCCTGGACAATGGCCTGTCGTGTCCAGCCGTGCTGTGGGACATGCTGCAGGGCGGCGTCCAGTATCTTGACTCTTATGGCATCGACTTTGGCCTGTTTAGCATCATCCTGTTGTCCACTGCCTCCACTGCCTGTTCCGCCCGTCGTGCCTGCCTCTTTTTGTGCGGCCTTAGCCGCCGCCTCATCGGCGGCATCACGTTCCTTCTCGCGCTGCTCTTCACGTGCCCGAAAGTCATTCAGATTGGTGGTTGTCTTCTCATCGCTGGCATAGTTCCTCCTTGCCAGCAGGAAGGTTAAGGGTCTGGGCTGCAGGGAAGCCAGCTGGCGGGGGCTTTGTGCATCTGCAAATAATAAGAATCTTTATAGAAGGGAAGAGAAGGGAGAGGCTATCTTGGAGAACGATTCTTCTGGAGTATTTTTTAAGCCAAGTGTTAAGTGCCATGTTCTGATATATGCATTTCGATTCGTATGCGCAGTTACTTCCCGTAATAACGCAATGCAAAAGCTCATTAGCACCCCACAAAACTGGCTCAATTAGCCAGTTAATTATCGCCTCCCAGCCAAGAAACCCCCAAAGCACATAGACCAGATTCGATTTCAGTTTCGTTTTCGTTAAGATTTCGATTTCGGTTCTGTTTACACACAAAGTTTACGCTAATATTCTTTTGTTTGTGAAAAAATACATGGACAAATACGAGTTAAGCTTCCAACGCCTGGGAAATGGGCGGTTTAATGCGGCGCTGGCGGGCGGATTGTTCAATGCATTCGTTGGCCCGCAGGTACAGAGCCCGCAAGGACTCCAGTCCTGTGATTGAGCTGGCCAGCACCTCGAGCTTCTCCTTGGTGCCAATGTCGGGCAGGTGGTTGTCCCCATCCTTTGCAGCCATTCCACTGTTGGTGATGTTCACCGCCAGCATGTTGAGCTGGCGCTGCATCAGGGCATCGTCCGAGGCACTCTGGCCGTTCTCTACACGCTCCTTGTACGCCTTGTAGTGGGCCATCGAAAAGTCCAGGGCCTTGGCCAGCGGAATCAGGAATCTACGCTCAATCTCCGGCAAAGCCTGCCAGAACCCAGTCACATCCTGCTTGTCCTTCAGCGCAAAGTATCTCACAATGTTCAGGGCACTACACAGGCGGTCAGAGTGCAGCAGCAGGTCGGATTTCACATCTTGGGGCAGGACACAGACGCACAGCAGCAGCATCTCTTGGAACATCTTGCCGCTGTAGACTTTAGGCATAGGGGAGGACTCAAGCAGCGCCTCGTGCACCAGATCCTTGTACATTCCAGCCAGGTAGCCCATCAGTCCATCGTGCTGCTGGGTCTCCAGCAGGTTCTTAATGATCAAGTACTTTCCTTGGTCCTCGAAGGCCAGCACGTATTGTCGGAGCACATGGATCCCCAACTGGCGGAGGGAGACCTGCGGCGAGTAGCCAACAATCTTGCATAGGGCCTCAAAGAAGCGCTTGTGCACGTCCAGCTGCAGCGAGGCATACGGAACGGGGTCCCCCAGGGTGGTCAGCAGATACTCCACCAATCGGAGACCGCAATGCTGCAGCGGCGGCTCCTGCTGTTTGAGCAGCACTTCTGCCAGGTAGACAATGGATTCAAACAGAAACAGAGGTGCATATATCTTGGGCGCTGTGGGCGGCAGTTGGTTTCCCACGAAGAGCGAGTGATAGTACATGGCCAGAGCGTGCAGCGGTAGCTTCTCCTCGATAAGGAACACATTACGGCTGCTCATTTCGTAGACCCCTTTAGAGGCATCGAGCTTCCTCTGCCACCTGGCGCGCTGCTCTACCAGATTGAGGAGGTAAAAGGGGTCCCCCAGGCACTGACTGGCGTCCTTAGTGAAGCCCTCGACCACCTGCTGCACATAGGTGCGCGTCATGCCCTCCTTGACGGAGCCCATCTCCAGCAGCGCCAGCGGACGCCCCAGAAGTTGGATGAAGAAGCAGGCGAAGATGTTACGGCGGTTCAGTCCACAGTTCCTGAATGTTTGGTCAGCAGGACGCACATCCTGCTGCAGGATTTCCTTAACAATGGGTGTGCGAAAGAGCCCCACGGTTATGTAGTGGGCCAGCAGGTCCTCCACGTCCTCCTCCTGCTCTATTAGCTTCGCCTGGGCCTCGTCGTAGCCCTCGCTCAAGTATTCCGGCAACGGCAGCTCCTGCAGCCGGCTGTAGACACTGTGCAGGCACCACTCCACCGCCTGCGGCTTGCTGCGTCCCTGTCGTTGGATGAGCACCTGCAGGGCGCGCAGGTAGGCTCCAAACACACTTATGCTGCTGCTCTCCCCCACGCGCTCCATCAACTCCAGCATCAGCTCCTGCAGCGGAGCATACTTGGCCAGCAGCTTAAGCAGCTCGTCCGCGCAGTCGAACAGCTCAGACTCCTCGCAGTTGACGTCGTCCGTGAGGTTTGGGGCGCACACGTCGTGGAACAGGTCCATGGCTATCAGCGGCAGGTGCCGGCTATTCCGTTCCGCCTCCTGGGGACTGTTGAAGAGCATCCGCACGCCGTCGTAGGCCTTCTCCAGCAGCAGCCGCTTGATGAGCTTCAGCAGATTGACCGCCTCGCCAGGATCCGCCGCCTGCGCCTCCACATCCACCTCCAACTCCATCTCCTGCTCCAGCATTCTCTGTTCCCGTTTTCTAGCTTGCTTTTTATATATCACTTCTCAAATAAGTATAATTTTGGGGGAAAATAGTGAAAAGTTTACGACTGCCGCCGGCATTTGGCTTTTAACTTTTCTTCCCCTCCCCCCTCTCTTACACTCACACGCGCACACTACTCGATCGAACAGCTGATTTGTTGCGGGCTCTCTTTCGTAACGCCCGCACGCGGCCAATGGGTAGCTAACAGGTGTATGGGGGGCTTGCTCTACTTACTGAGGGGCAGCAGCAGCTTCTGCAGGCGAATCAGCTTCTGCAAACAGCGCACATTGGCCATTTTAGCGGCTTGAAATCTAGCGGACGATTGAAATCGGTTTGTTTGGCATTCACCTGGGAGCAACGGTAGTTAGTATTGGAAAACGGTCACTTTGCCGGTGTTGCCAGACTGCGCGGGAAAATGGTAAAGTCTGGCAACAGCTCTCTTAATAAACACTGGAGTTGTATACAGTGCCGGTCAAGACGATAGTAACGTTTAAAATAACTGGTGCTGGTACATCTAATAAAATAATTTCAACCACAAAATGTTTTAAAAACATTGTCAAAAATTAAAAAATAAATCAAATTTTTTAAATATTAAATTTTTAAAGTTGACTTTACTTTTTATACCCTTGCAGGGTATTATAATTTCAGTCAGAAGTTTGCAACGCAGTGATGGAGACCTTTCCCACCCTATAAAGTAATTTTATATAATTTTAGGATTGCCAGAGGTGAAGCTGGAGGAGCGAGCAGCTGGCAGGACAGACTTCAACCGGATGGCAGTAGAGGACGGTGATCGGATCTTGGCTCCGGGCTATATGAAAGCCTGCAGAAGGCGTAAATAATTAAAATATTGATAAATACAATTTAAATATGTAAATGTAATTGATGGAACAAACAAATATGAATCAATAAAAGATGGTGAATTCAATGTGCAATTGTTTGGTGAAGGCGGCATTTATTTGGGATCGTTTGGGAAAAAATCTAATTATTTTGAAAGCAAAATCTAAATTTTTAAATTTGTTATCTGAATTTTAAACATTTTTTCGGATGTTTTACAATTCTTCTAAACTTTTAAAAAATTTTTCTGAATTTTAAAATTTTTTTTCTGAATTTTTAACATTTTTTAGATTTTTTATATTTATTTAAAATTTTTTTTAGAATTAAACAAATTTTTTTTAAATATTTTAACTGCCAAATTTGAATTTGAATTTAACTGCCAAATTCGAATTTGAATTTAACGACGATCAGTTTCAGTGTGCCCAGGTGCATTTAGGCAACATTTTAGCCAAAAAATTTACAATATGGTCACATCTGGTTTGAGTCTTCGCTTTCAGTGTGCCCAGGTGCAGTTGTAAAATAACACCTAAATTTGGATTCAAAAGGTTTGAGTCTCCGCTAACTTGCGCCGGCTCCTAAATGGTTTGAAACTTGGACTTTTTATAACAGTTTATACCAGTTTTCAGCTGCTTGCTGCTGATTTCTGTTCGCCTGTTACCCCAATTTGGGAAACGGGCAATTTGCTTGGAAATGTTCGGAAATTTGGATGGGCTGCTGTAGGGATGTTGTTGTAAAAAGGTTGTTGTTGCCATAAGCTGTTGTTGTCGGCAACAAATAGGTATAAATGCATAAAATGAAATATAAAAGTTTATACCAATTATTATTTTTGCCCAAAAGTTTTTATAACAGTTTATACCAGTTTTCCGTTGCTTGCTGCTGATTTCTGTTCGCCTGTTACCCCAGTTTGGGAAGCGGCCAAATTGAATGGAAATTTTTGCTCACTTGCATCAGTGATGCTCATCTGCATCAGTGATGCTCATCTAGCTATATTGCAATATTGGGACAAAATGGCATCTCACTAACTGCCAGTGATGCTCATCTAGCTATTTTGCATTATTGGGACAAAATGGCATCGCATCTCACTAACTGCCAGTGATGCTCATCTAGCTATTTTGCATTATTGGGACAAAAAGGCATCTCACTAACTGCCAGTGATGCTCATCTAGCTATTTTGCATTATTGGGACAAAATGGCATCGCATCTCACTAATTGCCAGTGATGCTCATCTAGCTATTTTGCATTATTGGGACAAAATGGAATCTCACTAACTGCCAGTGATGCTCATCTAGCTATTTTGCAGTATTGGGATAAAAAGGCATCTCACTAACTGCCAGTGATGCTCATCTAGCTATTTTGCATTATTGGGACAAAATGGCATCTCACTAACTGCCAGTGATGCTCATCTAGCTATTTTGCATTATTGGGACAAAAAGGCATCTCACTAACTGCCAGTGATGCTCATCTAGCTATTTTGCATTATTGGGACAAAATGGAATCTCACTAACTGCCAGTGATGCTCATCTAGCTATTTTGCATTATTGGGACAAAATGGCATCTCACTAGCTGCCAGTGATGCTCATCAAGCTATTTTGCATTATTGGGACAAAATGGAATCTCACTAACTGCCAGTGATGCTCATCTAGCTATTTTGCAGTATTGGGATAAAAAGGCATCTCACTAACTGCCAGTGATGCTCATCTAGCTATTTTGCATTATTGGGACAAAATGGCATCTCACTAACTGCCAGTGATGCTCATCTAGCTATTTTGCATTATTGGGACAAAAAGGCATCTCACTAACTGCCAGTGATGCTCATCTAGCTATTTTGCATTATTGGGACAAAATGGAATCTCACTAACTGCCAGTGATGCTCATCTAGCTATTTTGCATTATTGGGACAACATGGAATCTCACTAACTGCCAGTGATGCTCATCTAGCTATTTTGCATTATTGGGACAAAATGGCATCTCACTAACTGCCAGTGATGCTCAACTAGCTATTTTACATTATTGGGACAAAATGGCATCTCACTAAATGCCAGTGATGCTCATCCAGCTATTTTGCATTAATGTGACAAAATGACAACTTTTGTGAGTTGAAGCGACCGGTAGATGTTGATAAAATGTAAAGCTTGGAACGTAACTGTAACTGTCAAACTGTAAACATAATAAGTATAGTTAAAATGTAATAAAATAATATCTGCAAGGGTATACAAACTTCGGCGTGCCGAAGTTAGCTTCCTTTCTTGTTTTATATAAAAAATATCTTATTTTTTAACTTCTTGGTATATCAAGGCCAAAAAGCAAATGATGGCTAAAAGTCATATAAACAAAATCTACAACAGTTTTACTCAATTTTTTCCAACTTTAAAATGGTGCAAAATTAAACAAATATTAATTATTATTATTAAACTCAGCCTAATAAAACTAACACAGAAAAGAAAATACATTTAGATAAATTCATGCATACCCATATATGATTCCAAAATATATATATAGAAATGTTCCCCCAATAAAAGACATATCATGTAAGGCTCATTTATTTATTAATCCCTTTTTGGTTAATCAAGCAGAGTCCTTGTCAATGTGCGCAGGATTACTGCCCCCGAATTCTTAGTCATTCGTTTCCTAGATCTCGCTAAAGCTAAAGAGTTAACGATCGATTTGTGTTGTATCTTTTGTTGTAGGGAGGAGGGTTAAGTTCGCAATTCAAAATCAATAGATTTTTCACATATGCACTACATTTTGGGGGGAGAGCTGGGGTTTGATTGGGGTCTCTTAGATATCTACCAATTCGTTTCGTTTTAATTAAAGTCAGATTAAAAATTTTCACTAATATCACCTTCTAGAAATTTGTCCAATTCGTATTCTCCGTTTAAAACTGATTTGTAAATATGCAGTAAAGATGTATTGTATGTAATTGTTTGTATATGAAATTTGATCCTTAAGTGTGCTTGGATTTGGCGATGTGCAGCGGGAACGAAATAAAAATAAACCAAAAAGCGTAATTTAAATAATTTGCATTTATTTAAAAGAGTTAAAAAATAACTAATTTAATAATTGAGTAGTTTTTCAAGTGTTCTTATGTTTTGCTCTCTCTTTTCTCTTATTTTGTTTGCATTTCCTTTTCTTTTTTGGGGTAGGCGTTTGTCTTACGTACTAATAAAATATGCAAGTGAGGGTGTGCTTCGATCGATGTTTGTGTATGTGTGTGTCGGGATTAAGGACGAAAATAAACAATAATTAAAAACTTAGCAGTGAGTTCTCTCGTTCGATTGGTTTTTATAAAATGTACAAAATGTAATTAATAAACATCAAAAATGTATCAATTAAACTAAACAAAAAAGCACAAGAAAATTGCCGGTCCAATGCCTACAATTATTAAAAATTTCGTTATGCCTAATTATCAACTATATGATATATATATATATATGTATAATCTTGTATAATTGTATTTGTATAATTGGTTTCGTAATATATATATATAATGTATATATATTTAAAACTACAATTTATAACACGCCACGCCACGACGTAAACAAACAAAGGCCAGGATATAGATCGATATATGTGTGGGGTGTGTATGTGGATATATTCATATGTATATGCACTTGGTAACTAACATACTTAGCTAAATAATTAAATTTTTTAACTGCAAAATGCGCAGCACACACAAGATTAAACGGGGGCCTGCGGGGTGCAGTTTTATCAACAAACAAATAATAAAAAATTAAAAACCTCTCTTCTTGTCGAATTTTGATTTCAAATCGCCTTGATATATATCGCGTACTTTATATATTATATATTTGTAAAGGTGTCTATGTATATGCATATGCGTGGATCGGGTGTCGGGGTGGATCTCTGGTTACTCCATCCCTTATGTGGTCCCTACTCCACTGCAAAGCCGCAGGTCTCCTCAACGGCCTGCGTCAGCTTGTCGCAGAGCAGCTGATACGTCTCGTAGGGCGGCAAATCGATCCGATTAAAGCAGGTGTGCGCCTTGGGCAGGTTCTGTGTGGGCACATCAGCGGTTAAGTGAATGGTAAACAGTCGTGGTCCCACTGCTCCCGTAGAGCCTTGCAAAGCCCGGAAACCCTGCAGCGGTACACGTGACGATCCCGTCACAAACTGCAGCAGGCGAGCTCTCATCTCGGAGCTGTACGACTCGACCACCTTGAAGATTTAAGTTTATTAAATATTGAAATGTTTACGATTAATAGTCCAGAAGGAAATGGAGCTATACACACCTGCCAGAACCACAACACCTGCGTGGTCTCATTCGTACAGTGCTTCAGTCTCGTATTGTTGCGCCAGTCGTTGACATCAATGCTGGAGATGCCGCCAATGACCAATTCCAGTTCGCGCTCATCAAAGGGTCTCAGCAGCGGGCTGGGTATAAGCTCACAAAAACCTATAAAATATTTTAAAATTAATTTTACATTTATTTAGACCAACTATATTCCCAAGAGGCTAACCTTTCTGCAGAGCCAAAAACTGTTGTTCGATGCCGCGCATAAATCGATAGTTCACATAGAGCTTCACATACTCCCGCTTGTTCTCCTCGGTCACGGGAATGGAGGCACCACCTGGCTTCAGTTCGTGCACCACCAGAGCGCCAAAGCTATTGTTCTCCACACTAAACGTGGACTCGATTATGCCGCTAATGTTGCTCTCCCTAAAATTACAGAAGCAATAAGAACCTGTTTGGAATTTCGAATAAATCCTAAACTTACAGCATCCAGGTGAGGCTGCGATGCAGCTCCGGATCCACGCCTTCGATGTCGCCCAGCGTGATGGGTTTGTTCAGCAGCTGCTTGTAGAAGGGCGTGGTGAAGCCACCATCCAGGCAATGGCCATGGAACACGGCAATGCCTAGGGTGCGTCCCACGAAATGGAAGTAGGACAAGTGATCGGGATTCACTCCAGAGTCCGGATTGATTTGCAGCGTATAGTGGTCATCGCGACTGTACTGGAACAGGCCGTACTGCGGGTTGAGCATCTCGCGGGAGAGCAGGTGCAGCCACTCGCGAGCCACGCCGCCATAGTCCAGGCCTTCTTCTCCCTTGAACTTGACCATTAGCCGCTTGCGCATGTCCTTGCCCCGCATCTTCATAATCAGTCTATAGCTCTCCTCGAAAATCTCGTTGCGCGACACCTCCAGACGGCAGTGGCCGGATTGCGGCTGCATCGTTTGCAGCTCGGTGCGCAGAGCCCGCAGCTTGCCCACCAAATCGCGGCGGTACTTGGGCAGAAGGTCGGCGCTCTCGAGCAATCCCTGCGGCAGATCCGGCACAATGCGATGTGGGGTGTTAGTTGTAGTCGTGGTGGTCGTCGTTGTAGTCGCTGTGGCGTTCGCTGGAACGGCTGCTGTTGCTGCTGATTGCATTGCAGTTGTTGGCGCGGCCGCTGGGGCAGCAGGCGCAGCTGAATTGCCACCTGTTCCGCGACGAATCATGCTCAGAATACTGCCACTGAGGCGAGGATCTGTAAACTGGGTCGTTCGATTGTTGTGGTCCACAAAGTACACTCTGCCCGAGGCCGTCTTCCGCTGCTCCCAGCCACTGGGCAGCGGCCCGATTGTTTCCAGCGTCAGGTGTTGGGTGTCAAAGTCACGAGGTATCCTTGGATCGTGCCACGTAGACACACCCGTTGGTATGTGGAAGAAGTACACCTGGCCCTGTTGCGTGGTCCGCATTTCATAGCCCGGCGGCAGGTCCAGAAACGGACGCGCTGCCTGATTGGCGGCAGCAATGGCCGCCGTTGCATAACGCTGGCTTGACGATCCTCCTCCACCAGAGGTGCCTCCATTGCGAGTTCCTCGCGAGGAACGTCGCCTCGTGGACGACTCCTCTCCCTGCTGCCGTGAACTGCGACGCTGCGAGCGCTGACCGGGTGTGGCGGCTGTATAGGATCTGCTTCCTCCTCCTCCGCCACCCGCCGATGAACTGTTTGCATTTGGACTGTGCACGTTTCCATTGGCCGAAGGCGTGACAGGAGCTGGTGGCGATGCATTAGGGGTTGACGGACTCTGGCTATGCCTGGGAGGAGTTGCTGTCGCCGTAGCAGTCGTCGTGGTCGGCGTCGTCGTTGAGGCATCTTCCTGCGTCCATCCATTGCTAGCGCTCTGGGGTTGGGCCGCCTGGCCACTTCCAGTTCCACTGTTATTTCCACTCTGAGCATTCCCGTTCACGTAGTTCTGCTGTCCCGTTGGCGATGTGGGCGTGGCCTCTGGCTGAGCATGGCCATTCGTTTGATGCTTTGGCGTTTTCACATGATTGTCGTTGCTGTGCAGGCGACCCGGCGTCGACGTTGTCGTCGTGCTACTAGTGGGCGTGGCCGGTTCATTTGTGGGACGTTGCTCAAGAGTTCGACCTCCTCCCGATGACGATGAGGAGGACTTCTTGCCAGGTGTTGTGGTGGCTGACACGGGCGTTGTAGGGCTGGTGTTCTCCTTACCCACACTGGACAATATCTCCGTGGAGTGACGCCGTTCATCGTTAGCCGTCACCGCCAAATCCCTATTACGGTTGCCGCCATTAAGCAGATTCGTGCAAGTGGTGGAACGCGTGGGACCTGCCGGCGCCTGTCGATCACCGTTGTTGCCATTGTGTGTGTTGTGGCGCTGCTGTTGGGATGTGGCGCCTACGGGATGCCTGGGCCTGTCCCATTGCGTGGACTTGGTGGCATGGTTCACATAGTAAATGCGACCATTGTCCGTGCGCCGCTCTTCCCAGCCCTCCGGCAAGCTATCCTCCGATGAGTCGTCCTCCGAGGGTCCACGGACATCGCCACTGGGTCCAACGATGGCCAAAGGATTGCCACTGCCGGGACCATCCTTCGAGAGGAGCGATATGATGATTTGACCACGCACCAGCTCATCGTCATCCGGTGACAGTTTGCCCAGATCCAAGCGTTGAACTGTATGGAAAAAGTATTTGGTGTAAGAAGGTTTGCTCTTTTTGTGGAAAAAGAAAAGGTTAACTTACATCCCGCTCCCTTGAGGCTTTGTATGTTGAAAGCGGGTATCCTGACACATCCCAGAAATCCACTGCCCTTGTGTATCTTCCGCTGATTCCACACGGTTATCGTGATGGCATCGCCGATGCCCAGAAACAAATCGTAGTGTGCATTCCATTTGGGATCCAGCGAGGACTTGCTTATCTCCGTCGTGTACACCTGGCCAGTGCCATCCACTTGAACCTTGGCAAATGGATCGGGCAGACCTATTGGGACAATAAATAAATACAAATTAGTTAAGTAAATTAGAGGTTATTACAGGCTGGCAAAATTTGAAAAAATTGTATCTTATATGAATTGAATTGTTAACTAGATATTGTTCTGTGTAAGCATTCAACCCATTGTCGGTCTTAATCATTGTCATGATCATTACACTGCATGTGATTGTGCTAAATGAGCCCCATTTACACCGTAAATGCCTGTTTAGAGTGTTAAATTTGATCGAAAAACCATTAATGCACACAAAAAATAAACCTATTTAAGTTTGTTGGCTTATCTTAAACGTGTTTAGTTTGTATCAAGCATGGAGCGTGTCAGGTTCCTGGTGATTCTAATGCTGCTGATGCTGTTGCATTTGTACAGAGCCATCGCTGGATATATCCATCAACATCCTGGCTTTGCCCAACGGCTACAAATAAAACCAGGCTGCTTGCAGGTGCCACAAAAATACACCGAAGCTTCAACAACTCCGACTATAATCTTCTCTTCTTTGGAGGAGGTCAACAATGCAGAGTCAGATTAAACAAATCCCAGAGCAGAAGTTCCCCCGATTGTGTGAGTTCCCGTTTCAGTTGTGGCTTATCGCTTTCGGGGGACAGTACCCCACCAGCTGAGCTGAGCTGGGGGACCTATATAAGCACAGCCCCTCCCAGTCAGTGATCATTACAAGTAAATAATTAGCAATGGCTTCTACATCTACTTTGATTCACCTGCTGGGACTTTTGGCCATTTTCCTGTTCGTAACCCTGGCTGCAGGAGAGCCATTTCCCTTCGACGAGAGACGCCACAGGGGCTGGAATCCGCGACCAGGACAAATGCCACAGATTCCCACCACACCACCTTTTAATCCCTATGGTTAATAAATAAATAAATTATACCTTTCATAAAACAAATATCAAATCAAGTTCCTTTTTAGCCCTTAGCTTATTTAAAGAATTTCAAGAGAATATTACCAATCATTCGGCATATTAAAATCTGTCCCCAAATTGTGTAGAAAATAGACATTCTAATTTTAGCTCTAGTTTCTGAGAATCAACTTCGAAGTTTTCGTTTAAAGTGGGCCACTTTTTATGCTTTTTAGCCTAAGGGCAGGGAATGTCAATTAAATCTGAACAATGCTTCAATGAAAATGTTTACGGTGAATGCGGTCAAGTGTCATTAGTCGGAGATAGAGATATGGAAACAAATGTCCGGCGCTCTCTGGAGGAGCCGGAAGGGAGTGGAAGCACGAAACGGGGAATCTATTTGCCAATCTCCGCTATCAGAAATATAAATATATAGTAGGAACCCCCGCTGCCGCTACATCGCTTATCGTCTTAGGCGACCCACCGATAATGCCTCGAATCTTGACAAATTAAGCGCACGGCATTCCGCCTGAATTAAACAATTAAGAACTATCGAGCCGGGCTGGTTGGGGGGCACATGGATGATTTACACAGACCAGCGGACCAGCAGACCAGCAGACCCGACTAAACCCAACCAGTCAGTCGCTCGCGCTTCGACAGCTTCTGACTCATGGCCCGGTTACCACCGGCTGAATATCGCAACTAGGTTTTTTCGCACTCCCATATTTGTATCTATGTATATCTATATCTATTCGTGAATCGTTATCTCAAGGCTATGGTGGCCGCTGTTGTCACGGCTAGGGCCACGAGTATGGCACAGGCACAGGCCTGTCATCAGCTGGCGAGGAGGACCTACCCGATCCGACCTGTTTGTCTTGGTCAGGTAACTTGAGTAGGCCAGCGTCTGTGCCTGTGTCTGTGTCGCCAGGCAGCTGTTGATTGATTTTATGCAAGAGAGAACACACAAAGTGTGGCCACATGCAAAAGGAGTAAGAGGTAGGTAGAAGGAACCACTAAGGCACACTCTCTATAAGGAAGTCAAAGGTTTACTCAAGTTGCAAACAAAGAAAGGAGGTACTTGGTAAAGAATTCTTTTACAACTTGACAAATTTCTAAGAACATATTTTGTAAAGTCTACAAGAATTATAAATGCTTTTGTAGCCTTAAACTTATACAAAATTGAGCGGATGTGGAAATATGTGCCAATGTTGACAGCAGAGTGTAATAGAAAAAGTTATACTAATCAGTAGAGCTTATAGAACCTGAACAATCACGAGTTCCCGCATTAAATTGGTCAAGGCAAACTCATAAAATGTTATCCCCTCATTCTATAAACAAATATCTATATCGTATGGTATCAGAATAAAACAAAGCTACTAAATTGCATAAGCCCAAGCCCAACCAAGCCGCAATTTCACACCACGCTCTTCATGGCTGAACTGACTAAAAAGTGAGAGAATGAAAGAAAGAAAGCCCTCTTTTCGGATTGGCGACCAACAGACCCGAAGCCGCCGCCGCCGCCTTTTGGACCAGCTTGGCAGCATGGCGGCATGGCCAGCAGTATGTTCAACCCCTTTGGCTTAACGCTACGTGGCACAATTTCGTGGCCCAGTCGGCGGCAAGGCGAGGAAGTTAACGACTGGCTGCACTTTCACTCGGACGGAAGCCGACAATCAGCGGAGCATGAAGTCAGCCGCATGCCACCGCTAACTGGAGGAAGAAAACTGAATCGACTATGACGGTCTGTCACTGCTCTCTTGGCACACGCTTTATTCTAAACAAGGAGTTTCCTCTTCTGCAGCCTTATCGCAAGCCTCTCGCTCCTTGATTCGCTCCTCGATCAGCGGCCGAAAGTGACGAATGAGTCCCTGCGGCGGCCAGGCGGCGCCATCACCCAGGGCACAGATGGTATGGCCTTCGACCTGCTTGGTAAGTTCCCACAGCATGTCGATCTCCGCAATCTGAGCCTGGCCTGTCACAAATCTCTGCATGATCATGTTTACCCAGTGGAGGCCCTCGCGGCATGGAGTGCACTGTCCGCAGCTCTCGTGCTTGTAGAAGGCCGAAAGTCGGGCAATGGCCTTTATGATGTCCGTGTCCTTGTTCATCACTATCAGGGCGCCAGTGCCCAAGGACGATTGCACTGCCATCAGGCCGTCATAGTCATGGATTGAAGTCTCGGCAGCCTTCTTCGGAATACAAGGAGTCGAGGAACCGCCCGGGATGATGGCCAACAGGTTGTCCCAGCCGCCAATCACTCCGCCAGCATGGCGTTCAATCAGCTCCCTGGTGGGCATTGACATCTCCTCCTCGAAGGTGCATGGAGTGTTGACGTGACCAGAGATATTGAATAACTTGGTGCCCGAGTTCCGAGTCCGTCCAAAGCTGGCGAACCACTTGCCACCACGACGACAGATGGTTGGAGACACCGCCACAGTTTCCACATTACTCACCGTTGAGGGGCAGCCAAACACACCAATATTTGCCGGAAATGGTGGCTTGTTACGCGGCTTTCCAGCCTTGCCCTCCAGCGATTCAATCAGGGATGTTTCCTCGCCACATATATAGGCTCCAGCTCCCCGTTGCACGTACAGGTCGAAATCGAAGCCGGAACCGCATGCGTTCTTGCCCAGATAACCTGCCTTGTAAGCCTCTATGATGGCATACTGAAGGTTGCAGGCCTCGTTGTAAAACTCTCCACGGATATAAACGAATCCTGTGTTGGCTCCCATGGCCCGGCCAGCAATGAGACATCCCTCGACCAGTTTGTGCGGATCGTGGCGCATAATCTCACGATCCTTACAGGTGCCCGGTTCTCCTTCGTCTGCGTTGACTAGCAGGAACTTGGGCCTGCCATCCGGAGGTTGATGCATAAAGGACCACTTCAAGCCACTGGGGAACCCGGCGCCACCGCGTCCTCGCAGCCCCGAAGTCATGATCTCATGTACGATCCACTTTTCACCCTTATCCAGGATCTCCTTGGTCTTGTACCAGTCGCCGCGCTTCATGGCCGCCTTCAGACGCCAATCGTGGCGTCCATATAAGTTGGTAAAGATGCGATCAGCATCTGCAAGTGGACCAAAAGTGGTTTTCGTCTGGACTGGTGGTGTCCCAGGCGGCGGTGGTGGTGGCGGGGCACCCCCTTTGGATGGTGGATTAGCCCCCGTAGCAGGTGGTGGCGGTGGCGGAGTTGGTGGACTGGCTGGTTTTGCTGGCTCCTTGGCTTTCTTTATTCCTTCATTTGGTTTATTCTTTGTATTAGAATTTGTATATTCCACATTTTCCTTAGCCCTATCCCTGAGTCCCTTTAATAATTTCTCCTGTAGTTCACGGAATTCAGCTTTTTCCAGTAATTTGTCCGCATTTTCATTGACGGGAAATTTCGCTGTAGGTGGCCCCCGTTTTAGTGGAAATTTTCGAGAATCCGCATTGTTTGCTTTTTTATTATCCTCTCGCTTAATGCTTCGTTGCTCAAAAGATAGCAGATCATCGTTTTTATCATTGATGGATTTTCCATGGCTCATGGTGTGGTACGTGGAGCATACCGCGTATATCTGCTGTGTTATCTTTACATATTCAACTCCCTCTTCTGCCAGAACATATTTTATCATCCCAGAGTTTGTGGCAGACTTGCGGTCATCTTTAAGCTTCTTGACTCCCGATAAGCATCGTCGTCCACCTCGAATGGATCCCAAAAATGTCTTGTAATCGGTGAAAGGACGGCGACGCAGCAATAAAGAAATCATGGTGTCGTCTATATCCGGTAGTGCTGAATTCTCATTTGGGGGATATCTTGGTTTTGTTGATGGGAAGTGCCATAGCCTACTATGATCCAAGTTAAGTTTTTAAATAATACATGTGATAGGAGGAAAACCCATTATGCAGACATTACTCATATGTAGTAAAAAAAATAAATGTGTATGGCCCTAACAGATCTATTTATAACATCGCAATATAACCAAAAATCCAGACCACGCGAAGAATGGACTTTCCCATTGCCATGACGGTACACACGGCGACGCCTGGTAAATAACTCAAATCTAATCACCAAAAGAGTCGATAAAATGTGAAGAAAAAACTATATGTATAAGGCAGAAAAGAAAAATGGGAAAAGAGTGGCCAAGAGTAAGTAAGCTATAATATAGTTTTGCTACTGGGATTCACAACGGGAACATTAATATGCCACCAGATGCTAAGGCTTCTTAGGGTCTTAAGGTCTTAATAGTTTGTTTTAGTTAGTCATATCCTTTGACTTGTTAAATAAAAACAAGACTAAATATAAACCATAATATTCTACATGGTATCTATGGGAATCACGGTAATGTCAGAGCCAGCTAGACATTAGCATTAATATGCCATTTCCATATCGAAAGTGACGGCCATTGCTGGGATCCCAGCGATCCCCCAAAAACGGAATATTGAATATATCATCAGGCAAGCACATATCAAATCATATATAGTTTGTAGTTTTTAGGGCAGCATATTGGGCAATGCCTGGCGCGTGATTTAAGTACAGCCAAGTGTAAAAAATGGACAAGAAAATAATAAATAAAAAATACAGGGAAAGAAAAATTATGCCGTGTGTGAGTTGTGGCTGTTACTGTTTCTGTTTGTATTTCCACTGCCACTGAGCGAGCGAGTGAGGGAGCCGCAATGAAAGCAAATTAGTAATAATCACTTTTGTTATATCTAAACAAAATATGGAAAAAGAGCTCAGATATGGAGGCGCACACACACACGCACACTCGCATACTGTGGCACACACATTCACACCCCTTTTCCGCAATTTGTATAAAAATGAAAGTAGACAAAAGGAAGTGCTAATTTTAGCGATACCCCCTCATATGCATAGATAAATGCAAAGAAGAAGACGAACGCCGCAAGCAAATGCCGCAGAAAATAAAACAAAACTTTAATTTACCGCAAAAGTGTGTTTTGATTGGACGGCTAAACAGGTGCGTAATTGATGGTTTTTGAAAGCAAAAGGCAAACGAATCAAAAAAACAAAACTTTACTGTATCTGGAGCAGGCGAAATTCTCGGGAAAATCCCCCAAAGATTCCACGATGGTATAATTACCGAAAAAGAAAATCAAACCAAGTAATTAGGACTCGAATCGTAGACCTAATCTGGGCTCATAATCCATGGGAACATAAACATATGTAGTTTATAGATTTTGGCTCTGGTTAAAGCCTTATTAATTGCTAGAATTCCCTAAAAATTAAGCCCATGTTTAGTTCAGGAGTTTTCCTGGAATTAGCTTAGGTACTTCTGATGTTGTATCTTTTAGGTGATCAAAATCTATCTATCCTGGCGGCCTCAATATGTTTTGATCTATACCTTAATTCGAGTTTAGAAAAATGGTAACCTATTTAATATACGATTTAAAGGTAAGAAATACTCACGAAATAAATCCTTGCGAGCCAAGTTTCTAGCACACAATACTGCAAAAAAGGCAATAAATTATTAAAATGTATTCAAGATGAACCAAAAATATGCCAGAAACTACTTACTCGTTATTCGAACTTTGTGTGTACCATTGCGACGTGGATAATCCAATTTATTCATAATTTCCGATTTTTAATTGATATTGTTTGGTTTGTATAGAAAAATAAATGTGGATTTATTTTGTATTTTGTTTATTTATTTATACGACAATTACGCGACGCGCTCATGTTTGTTGTTGGTTCGGCGGACAACAGAGGAGAAGCAGCGGAGAAGGAGGTGTAGGAAGCGGAGGCGGAGGAAGAGGAGGAGCAGGTGAAGGCGGCAAGAAATAGTAATTTCATTGCCGAAGGTAGCAACTGCAAGTGTTGTTGTGGCCGCTGTTGCTGTCGCTGTTTCGATAGCCTTGATAGTTGCAATTGTTGTTGCTGCCGCCGCTGCTACTTGTCATTGCACACGAATATATAGATATATAAATAATAACAGCGATTTGCTGGTTATTACACGCTGCAAAATGGCAAGATAACAAATAGAAATCAGGTATTAATAATAAATTCTCTGCCGAGATAATGGGTTAATGCATGTACATAAGTATGGACGAGCGCACAGAGCCCAGCCCGAAAGGTATACTGAGAGATCTCGGATTCCCACAAATTCGCAGGTAGGCAAAATATATTCACAAAAAAACTCACCCGAAAAACTGTTTTGTTACAGTTGTTGTTGCTGCTGCTGCTGCACCTCACACGCACATGTCTCGCTCACTCACTCGCACACACATACATACGCCCCTCACGCATGCTGCTGCTGGGTAGAGAGGGAGAGGTAACGGAGGAGGAGATGCGACGTCTCGTCTCGGCTCCCTCCCTCGTCGGTATTATTTCACAAATTGCATTAAATGAAATACCACTAGGCGTTTAATTAACTTTAATTTAGTCGCTGCTCCAGTATGGGTGTCTCACTATATTTACTTGCACACTCGCATTCCCCTCGCTCACAACGCGCCCGTCTCTCTGTGTGTGTGTGTGCTACGAAATTTGCAATAATAACTTAACCGAAGGAGGCTGAATTCTGTGGCTCTATTCACACGAATTTTGCCGTACGCACTACGCTCGCCCCACGCTTTCACGACCGCTGAATTATTCAATTTACGAATTGATGCGCGAAAATATGTTGTCGCGGCCGCAAGCGCTATTGTTTTTATGGTTTCCTTAAATATTTTTAACGCGTTGTTTTATTTCTCGTACTTTTGTGTTATCGGTTGAGATGGGAAGTCCTCGATGGCGCTACACACTCGATATCGATTGTTGTCGTCTAGAGGTGGGACCTGTCGATATAACGATGGGATAAGAAAAGTGTGGCAGCTCTGGTTCAACAGCTAGTCACGAGTCTTTTTTGGTAGTTTTCCGGCAATTTTCCGCAGAAAAACAAATAGTTCTGGATGCCCCGCAATATAACGAACCCTACATTTATTATTTTAATTGTTTAAAATGAAGTGCTGAATGGAAAATAGTTGAAAAGCCGTTATATTCCTTGCCACATGTGGCAACGCCAAGTCACGAGACCAGTGTGACCAGTGGCTACGAATTAGGAAAACTTCGACTTTTCTGAAGATTTAAAAACATTATAGACTGAAAGGCCGGCGGTCCTATTTGCAGTTATTATTATTATTAATTTTAGTTTTTTAAAAACTTCTTTGCCATACTATAAAGTTTTTGGAGTTTCTGGAATGGACATCGACTTGGGATTTGCCGAAAAACGCGACGACGCCAATTGGCTAACTAACCGGTACTTCCCCAGCAAGTTGGGCGGTCAACCCGCGTGGCTGGAACTGGACAGCCTGCCACCCCCCTCACAGCTGCAGTGCAGCAAGTGCAAGGCGCCCAAATCCTTCCTGGCCCAACTTTACGCTCCCTACGAAGATGACTTTAATTTCCATCGGTCTATCTATGTGTTCCTATGCCGGAATCCGGACTGTCAGCAGGCCCAGAGTGCGGGGTAAGCAACGACGATTTTTTACAGAAAAATGTGACTAATAAACGTGGATATTTTCCTGTAATTTCAGCAATTTCACGGTGCTAAGATCACAATTGCCGCTCAAGAACAAGTTTTTCTCGGAAGAGGATCCGGATGACGAAGGCGATCCTCTGGTGGGAATCAATTATAACCTGTTTAGCATCCAATTCCTAACTTAATCTCTTCTAGCCAGCTATTCCCTGCCTGAAGAAACTGTGTGCCGCCTGCGGTTGCCATGCTCCTCACGCCTGCGCAAAGTGCAAAGCCATCCACTATTGCTCTGCGGAGCATCAGCGAGCGCACTGGCCACGCCACAAGCTGAACTGCGGATCCTCTGCGGAAGTGACCCGCGAAGCGCTCATCAAAGTCGAGTTTCCCGAGTTCGAAATCGTGATGGACAGCAATCCCACAAAAGCTTCGGAAGACGACAAAGACGACGATGCCCGGTTGGCAGAGTTCCAGGAGCTGGAGGCCAGCGGCAAGACTGGTGACCTAAGCAACGTATCCGAGGCGGAGATGGACAAATACTTTGGCAATACGGCTGCCGCCGATGACAAGACCTTCCGTCAGTTCAAGAAGCAAACGGCAGCGGAACCCGAGCAGATTGTTCGCTACAAGCGGGGTGGCCAGCCCCTGTGGATTACAGATACCGCCCGGACGGTGGCGGATCAACTGCAGCCGCTGCCCAACTGCAAACGCTGCGGAGGAGCCCGCCAGTTCGAGTTCCAGATTATGCCCCAGACTCTGACGCTGCTGGACGACGAGAACCTTGATTGGGGCGTGCTAGCGGTCTACACATGCGCCAAGAGCTGCCCCATCGAGGGTTATGAGGAGGAGCTGCTGATCAAGCAGGACATTGTCGCGGAGGAGCAGAGCTGACAGAGTTAAAATGCATACATGTAAATTTTATATTCTTGTCAATTGTGGAAAACACGAACACGAACACATGGTCTACTTTAGTTTGATGATGGGGAAGTAGCTGTGCTTCGAGAAGTCAAACTCTGGCTGGCGCTTCAGTTCCTTTTGGTGTCCTCGGGCCAGCACATTCATCACCACAAAGTTAGTGCGTGCAATTTGCAGGAGATCCAACATCTGGCAGGAAATAATTACACTTTGATTATATGGTACATTTTATGGACAGAGTCCTCACTTACCTCCTGGTCGGGATTCTGAATGCTCTCCAGCACATTGCGCGCCTGGTTGAAGTGCTTGCCCGCGTAAGTGTAAAGGTCCTCGACGCTGGGCTCCATCATATGCTCCCTGATGTTCCTGAACTCCGGGTATGAAACGGGAGGCGGGCTGGTCAGCGTGGCGAAGGGCAGGAAGCGGCGATTGTAGCGGATCTCCTCGTTGTCGAACTGGGACAGCGGCAGGCGAACGCGCCCGTCTTTGGTCAAGGCGCCCATGGCCTTGTACATGCCACCGCAGAGACTGAGCAGGGCATGGTAGTAGACAATCTCGCCGCGGTATGGACGCTGTTGTTTCTTGTTCTTTTTAGGCTTAGCGACCTTTCGATTCTTTGCCGCTCCCGCACCGGCACTCTGCAGTCTGCTCTGATGCTCAGCATACTCTTCCTGAGCCAGCAAAATGTTCTCTGTGCGCGTCAGCGCGGATACCAGGAAGCCAATGAGGAACTCGTACGGATACCAGTATATGTAGAGGAACTCGTGGACAGCATACAGCTCCAGCTCAAAACCGGACATCAGGAAGATCAGCATGGCACGGAAGCAGTTGTACAGCACCCAGGTCGAGAAGTGGGTGCTGTGCTTCAGGGCAGTGGCCATCGACTCGTTGCCCTCCATGGCGCGCTCGTTGGCCAGTTGGTTCATCAGCGAGTCGAGACGCGCCGCATCCACCTGAATGGTGTCGAAGTTTTCAATTAAACGCGCCAGCTTGTCCCTCTGCCGGGCCCGATTAAAACCACAGATGCGGATAAACTGGGTGAACGTGTTCATGTTGATGCAGTATCGGAAGAAATTCTCCAGGTGCTGTTGTACTTTGGGATCCGCGGCCACCGGATGCTTGGCATTGAGCACAGGCGGCGAGTTGAAGATCTGCACGGAGTGGCGCAGGAACTGCTTCATGGGAAGCTTGCCATGCACTATCCGGATGTTGGAGCTGAACAGGCTTTGCAGAACGCTTCTGGAGAGGATGCATTGCCCAGACTTTTTGCTGTACTCGATGAAGAAGTTCTGAAAAAAAAGTCTGCTTAAAAGGGTTCCCGTTAAATTCAAAGCTTAGCCTACCAGAGCAGAGTAGTAATCCTTGTGCTTAACGACTTTACAGGCGTACTTAAAGCGTGAGATCATTTCCTCCAGGAACTGGTAGCTGGCCGGACGATCCCTGATCTTTATGCTACGCGGAAATGCGGGCGGTTGGCTGCGGTCATGAATGCGTGGCGAGAAGCCCATAGGATTGGGTGCTTCAGCTGCGGGGAATAAACGGTGGTTAATGCTGCCAACGGTTGATCAAAGCTCACTTACAGCCCTTCTCCGGCTGTATGCCCCGATCCATGGTCTTCCTGATAAGCGGCAGCAACTCCATGGCCACCTTGAGGTTCTTATGGATCTCATTGATGGACTCGTCTGCCGCATCGGCGTTTGCCATTTGCTCCACTAGGTAGATAACCTGGAAGAGGTTACGCATGAAGCGCAGCCTGTTTACCACAGCCATCCAATCCTCTGTGGCCGTCAACTTCTTGCATCTGCGCACCACCTCGTCCTCGACATCCTTGAGGGCACTATATACAGTGGCGGGTTGGGCCTTCTCGGCGGCCAGCAAGGCAGAGTTACCATACAACTGGAAATCCTCCTCCTCGTTGACGGCAGCCGCAGAAATAATATTCTTGATGACCACTATTAGATTGCGGACGGCCGTGCAGAAGACACGCAGTGCCCGGTCCTTGATCTGAGAGGGAGCGTGCAGATAGAGGCAGGTGAAGAGCACCTGGTCCATGGAGTTACCCTCCAGCCAGGACACAATGCAGGAGAAGAGAGCATCGAAGGTACCAATCAGTTCGGAGGGCGTGAGATCTTCCAGCTTGATGGCGCCCGTCTAAAAACGAATCCGCGTTAAGCAAGGACAACATGCTATTCTAATTCAAAACCTTACCGCAATGGCAGCCTCAAAGGAGGGCGGCGGCAGGTCCTGTTTGTCGAAGCCCATGCCAACGTCCATTTTTGGGTCCATTATCTCAATCGCCGACATGGCCTCGAACAGCCCAAAGAGCATGTCCTGGGCCAGCTCCCCCGGCTGAAGTTCGGTGCAGGCGTCGTGGAACTCCTTGGTGACATCTATCCAGCCGTGGATTGGGTACTGTGTGATGTCCTCGGCGGCACTGCCGCTCCGTAAGGTGCGCTGAACCTCCGGATCGAGAAAACCGCACTCGCCCACGCTCCACTCGTCCTGCTCGGAGCTACTGGCACGTGCAGCAGCGGCGGCGGCCGCAGTGGCCGCCTGGAAGTCCGCTGGATCTGCAACGCTAATGGAAGGGAGGGGTGGGAATTCATATATGTACATATATATATATATAGACGGAATTAGAGAATCACGGCACCGGTGGTGCTCTCCTGCCTCACCTTCCGTTCATGGTGCTCTGCTCCGTACAGACGAGTAAAGTCGCTGCCTATGTCTTCTGTGGGCGCTCGTCGGGCGAACAATTTGTGGCTCGACACGCTTTTAAAAGTCTTTTATTTATAAATTATAATATATTAAACCAAAAAAAAAAAAATTACCAGAATAACTGTGTTAGTAAGCGCCTCAGTCTACAGTGCTGCTAAACGACCGGCAAAACAGTGCTGATAAACGGAAGAATAAGCCACCGATTCCGATACCGATAGACATTTAATTTGCGCGCCAAAACGGCAAGCTTTCAGACGTTAAAACTGTTACGAAATTCAAATGCTGAGTCAGGTGAAAATGGGAATAAACAGGAAGGCTGGTTCATTGGACTGGCGGCGGCGGCGGCGGCGGCAAGCTCATTAACGAAACCAATTGAATGAACTGCAAGCCAGCGTTTTCCGTGGGCCACACGACCAGCAGAACCAAACAGAACAGTGCCGTACTTAGCCGCTAAAAGACGATAGTCCGTCGGGAGCTTTGTTTCGTTATTAACCAAATATTCTTATCTTGTAAAAATGCTATGAGCTGGAGGAGAACGCGTCTACCTTATCAGCAGGGCTCTTATCGTGTGTGGTCTCAAAACGGAAAAGCTCGCTCGCGCTTTCACTCGGGATTTACTGGGCGCCCGCCCCACGGATTTTGGGGTTGTCCGTTGTCGCCTGCTGAATGTTACAAGTATCGAAAAAAAAAATCACTCGAGGGGTTGAATTGGTTTGTTTACACCAAACGCGGGACCCACTCGCTCTCCCCAAATCGCTCTTACTCTCTATTTGGGCCAATGGCTCCCCAATTCTCCCTTGCTTTTCGCGGTTTTACTCAATTTGCAGATAGCTTGGAACTCATGTTAACTAGCAGTGGGGATATTCGAAATACCAGAGGATATATTCGTATTAAAGAAAAGGTTTTAGGCAATATTATACAGATGTCAACAATATTAATGTAAATTTAATTTTTTGTTATTTTCAAAGTTAGTTTTGGGTACTAAAACTCAAGCTTAAGTAAAGGTTTGAAGAAGTTTTCATTACTTTAGATGCATATTTTATGTCAATATTCACATCTTATTCCAAACACTTTACAATCTCGTAATTAGTTCGAATATATTCACTGTTAAAAGCTGAGTGGGTCCTCCATGAAACTTGAGAGCGACGGCCAGCGACTAAACTCACTCAATGAATGAGAAGAACACAGATTGAGAGAGAAATCGGGAGAGACCGAGTTTGACCGGCGAACTAAAATTCTATTTAAGCAACGCTCGCTTGTATTGCATTTCAATCTGTTTTCGTTTGCCATTAAAAAAATAACGCGGAAAGCCTCGCGATCTGAAAGGAAATTACTGTTACAGAAATTACGAAAAATATTTCCCTTTACTACAAGTTAAAACAGTAAAAAAGAAAGCTAGTTCGCGAAATCCAAAAACAAAAGTTTTTAACAAATAAAACAAAACATCAATCCAAACCAAAGGAGGCGGCATATTAGGGCCTACTTATTAGCCAATTTCACGCGTAAGTTGCCAACGAAAATACGTTTTTATTTTAGCCTTTAATTATAGAAACAACACAAAGTATCCACACTGTTGCCCAAATGTTTTCCATTTCAAGTTCGTCGAGAATAAAATAAAAAACACAAAAGACATTTAACTATAAAAAAGTATATGTATTTATTTGTCGGACATTGGACACGGACAGTGCTTTCCCAGCGACACACACGTCCTAATTAAATGCGAACAACGAAAATTTAAGCGCCTAATGCCGCAGAAGACGCGACTTTTTGGCAAGCGACCAAATCAAATTATTCAAATTGTCGAAACTATATAAAAAGAACAAAATGTTTACGTATGTCTCAATAAAAATAACAAGTTAAGGGCTTTACATTTAAGATCTAATAATTATAGTTCCCTTTCTTTAGATTCATTTCAATAACTTTATTTAATTTACTGTCCTATGTCTTGGTCTTTCAAAGTATGTAAGGTTTATAACGTTTTTTAAAGGGTAGGAACCGCACAAGATAAGATATTTTTCTTATCGCGACAAACAAACAGACATCGGGCACCTCCTTATCAAATCGCGCAATACTGCCGGCAATACACGCTTCAGATAGCTTTCAACCAGAAGTGGTATGTTTTTCAAATCGATCCAGGAATATGTTTGTTACTTAACCGGTTGTCAAGGCTGCCGCGACTTTAAGGTCTGTGCTTCCCCCCACACCATCCCACCACCAAACAGAAAGGCCCGTCCATCGCTGACCGAGGGCGTGACAACTGACCAAACTTAATCGTGGCCCACACGCACGAGTTAAGCTGCCAATAACAAGCAGACAAGCAAA